TTCATGACGCACTGCTTCAGTTCTCAAGCATCGTCATGGAATGAGTCAGTGACCATTTGAAAGAGGAGTTATCTAAGTTGTCAATGGCTGCCACATGGGCGCTGAAGTCGCATCATTCTTCCAGCAACATTCAGTTGTTCGTTTACCCTTGGAATGGCGAGTCCTCAGCAAAAGGCATTCTGTGTTCTTGAGTTCACGAAAACAAATTCGGTTGTCACGGTGCAGTGTGCTTTTCGAAGGCAATTCGGCATTAATCCGCCCTGTCCTAAGAACATTCGACGGTGGTTTCGACAGTTTCAAGAGAGTGGGTGTCTGTGTAAAGGAAAAAGTCTAGGACGACCACAGGTCTCAGAGGAACAAGTGGTGAGAATCCGTGCTGCATTTGAGAGGAGCCCAGGGAAGTCAACAAATCGAGCTAGCCGTGAGCTTGCGATCCCTCAATCCACTGTCTGGCGTGTGCTAACAGTACGTCTACATTTGAAACCATACAGACTGCAGCTCGTTCAGGCACTTACCAATGATGACAAAAGGAAGTGGATGGAATTTTGCAATACGATGCTGGAGATGATGGAAGACAAAACCTTCATTTCACGTTTAATTTTTAGTGATGAAGCGACTTTTCACTTGAGTGGCACAGTCATTTGTCACAATGTGCATATCTGGGGAACAGAGCACCCACATGAAACAGTTGAGCACAAAAGAGATTCCCCTAAGGTGAACGTCTTCTGTGCTGTGTCTCAGGACAAGGTTTATGGTCCCTTTCTCTTTGAAGGAAACACCGTTACACGACAAAACCTATCTTGATATGCTCCAAAACTGCCTCTTCACTTCACACTGCAAGCAGATTCGCATGACTTCATTTTTCAACAAGATGGAGCACCGCCCCATTGGCACCTGATGGTCCGAGCTTTTTTAAATGAAAAAGTGCCCCAGCGATGGATTGGTCGGAAGGGGGCCCAAGACCTTGCTCTTTGTGCTTGGCCTGTGAGATCCCCAGACCTCACCGTGTGTGATTTCTTCTTGTGGGGATATGTAAAAGATCACGTTTATGTTCCACCACTACCCACTAACCTCGATGACCTTAACCACTGAATAACAACAGCGATTAACTCAGTGCATCGTGATATGCTGATACGCACCTAGGAGGAATTCTCTTATCGCACTGATGGAAACGTGTTCTTTCCCACACTATGTTGGAACTCTGATTTGGAAATCCACCTTTGTATGGTAACTATGAAAACACGTGTTTGTGCACAGGCCAATTTTGGAATTTATTCCAGAATTCTTCTTGGGTGAGATATAGGAAGATCAATCCTGCATCTGGCCACTGACCACTGTCTCAGACTTCAGAATGTTTGTCTGCTTCAGAGTTTGGTCTTCCTCTTTGGATGGACAGAGGTTACCTTGCATCCATTTCCAATAACTTCTGAAACGAATTCTCTGAAAATTTTCAGAGCCAATTCTGCTACCAAAAGGGGACATATACAGAATTTTATTTATTCATACACTTATTTACATATTTATAATTTGTATTTATGAATTATTTTTCAACTTCATACAAAATTTTATCCGATATTCCTCTCTCAAGGTTAAGTCCATACATGGATGAAATTATTGGGGATCATCAGTGTGGGTTTCGACTTCACAGATCAACTACAGATCAGATCTTTTGCATTCATCAGATATGGAGAAAAAATGGGAGTACAATGAGACATTACATCAGCTATTCATTCAAGAAAGTTAATGATTCAGTTAGGAGGGAAGTACTGTACAGTATTCTGATAGAGTTTGGGATACCTATGAAACAGGTTAGACTGATTAAAATGATTAAACGAAACGTACAGTAAAGTCCATATAGGTAAACATTTGTCTGATAAATTTCCTATCCAGAATGGTCTAAAACAAGATGCTTCATTGCCACTCTTTTTCAACCTATTTTTTACAATATTCCATTAGGACGGTCCAGGAAAACAAGGTGGAACTGAAATTAAATTGGACACATCAGCTACTGGTCTATGCTGATAATATTGTGACGTGTTATATTACGACCACTGCTGTGCAACAATGAATACATGGACATTTTTTAGTTTCTACAGAAACAAATGGAATACCAACAGACTGTTGCATAGAGATTGCCAGATATTCGCCAGACAGCAACAAAGAGAGTGCAGAAGCTGAAGAACCTCCACTGTTAGAAGCCATTACCAGGGGATTACTGGTGAACACACAGCAAACAGTAAAGACTGAGCATGTGCAGTAGTGATCTGTAAAGTGTGGAGATTAGTGATGAATTATCCATTAAAATGGTCAATAAATCCGATCTCAAACCCAAACCCACTATGTAGTTGCACTCCCTTAGAATTTAATGAAATTTTGACTGTGTACTGATGAATCTACAGAATACTTCAAATGGAAAGAAACTGAAAACCATAAAAAGTGGAAAACTGTAAAAGGAAAAGAGTGCCCTACATAAAAGAAACCAAGAATGTTTGTGCTACTTTTGTTAATAAACATTTAATATGAGCAAAAGAAAGCGAAAAATTGTGTTTCACATTACTTTAGAAATTACCCCTCAAACATCCACAAGTACGGCCACTTCAAACTACAGCACTGTGCACTGCTAATCATCTTTTCCGACATTTGCTGACAAAATATAGCATTTTGAGCGTTTATTTCTTTTGGTGAAAGTATCCTCCTGGGGAAATGTCATTCTGTCAATCTTGCTATTATGAGGCCGTGTTACATAATATCCCTCAGAATAATTTACTTGCACTAACTCAATTTTTAATTTTATACCTGTATTTTGTCTGCACACTGTTGCCACATTCAACATTTCTTTCTTTCTATGAGGTACATTTGTAACATTTGGTGCTTTCTAACAAGATCTCCCATGTACTTAAGGCATTCTACAACACAAAGTGCTGACCTCTGTGGTGGCTTCTCTTCCATCATAACATGGAACACAGGGATTATTGTTATAGTCTTGTAACCACTTCACTTCATGACAGACACTGATCAAGCATCCTGCATAGCTATTTCACCTTTGTTTAGCTCTTTATGTTTTACTTTTGTAACACATTCTTCCTGTTAATTTCACAGTCCTTGCACTGTTAGCCTTCTGGAATTTAGCAAGGCCTCTGTATACACAGTGTGTCCAGGATCCATTAGGACTGATTTTTTTTAATTTTGCCCTGCAATACCATCTGTTGGCGAGTGGTGGCATTAAGATTCTTGAAGTTTCAGCTGTAGCTGTCAAAGCGCAAGCATCGCTGCGTCATGTGTTCTGACATTGAATGTAACACTACTGTTCTGACGCTCCTCGGAAAATGGCGGTTGAACAGACAGCCAACATCAAATTTTGTTTGAAGTTAGGCAAAACAGCTGGAGAAGTGTACAAAATGATGAAAAGTGTGTACAGCAGTGATTGTTTGAGTCGCTCCAACATGTTTTGATGGTATGCTGTATTTCGTGACGGCAGCGAGGACACTGATGCTCCACATGCATCAAAGCCGAGAACAAGTCGTACTGAAGAAAATGTGAAAAAAGTGACCAAAATCCTTGCATCAGACAGATGTGTTTCTGCAAGACTCATCGATGAGCTTTTGAGAATACCAAAAAGTATTGTGCATCAAATTTTGACCGAGCATTTGGGCAAACAGAAGGTCTGTGCGCAGTTTGTACCACACACACTGTCAGGCGATGAAAAACATACCAGAGTGGAACACTGCAAACACATGTTATGGTCGGCCCAAAGCGATACAAAATTTACAAAACTGATTATTACTAGTGACAAGACATGGTGTTTTCAATATGTGCCTCTCATAAAGAGGCAGAGTGCAGCGTGGTTGAGCCCAAAGAAGCCAGCTGAAACTAAGAAAGTGCGCATGTAAAAGAGTCCAGTAAAGACACTGCTAACCGTTTTCTTTGATTCCAAAGGAATCATTCACAAGGAATTTCTGCCAGAAGGTCAAACAGTGAATGCTGAGTATTATCTCGGAGTCCTCAATCGTTTATGTGCGAGAATTCTTTGAAGTTGACCTGAATATTGAGAGCAAGGTTCCTGGTCACTCCTCCACGACATTGCCCCACTCCACAAACTGAATATCGTGCGTGATTTTTTGGCCAGAAAAAGAATCACAGTCCTTGATCATGCTCCATATTCGCCAGATTTGGCTCCAGCAGATTTCTGATTGTTCCCAAAAGTTAAGCTGGCGATAAAAGGAGACCATCACAACACCATCCAGGACATCCAAAGGGAATGTACCACAGTTTTAAATACGATTCCACAAAAGGAGTACAGTGACTGTTTTCAAAAACCTTTCAATCGATTCCAGATATGTATTGATTCAGAAGGAGACTATTTTGAATAAAAAGAGTGAAATTCTGAAAATAATTCAAGTCTTGTATTTTTAATGAACACAGTCCTAACAGAAGCTGGACACACTGTGTATGTCAAAGTTACTAATCCAAACTGAAATCCCTCATGAAAGGATTCTACTAATTTCACCCCTGTGGCAGTTGTTCTAGTCTTGTCAGTGCTGATCAAAAGGGACTGTATTACCATGTCCTTCCTTGTGTAGACAGTGAATGATCACATACAGTTGGCATTAGACACGCAAAATTCAAAGTTTATACTGGATTGTGAAGATTTTAGATGGGGGTACTATCTCTGTGGAAATATTGTGTTGAGGACGATACAGAATTTTAAACTTTGAATTTTAATGGTCAGGAGAGGACTAAATTTGAACAGTTTTGGGGAACTTCATACTAGTCATTGGTGCTACTGTCTGTGAGATGTAAGATCCTGAAAAATGATTTGCAACAATGCGGGGAAATGACAGCGATGATGCCAATGTCACATTAAACCATACAGATTAGGTGGCACCAGAAAGTATCAAGCACATACATGCAGATATTGAATGAACACACAATACTGACTACGGATGTCCACTTTGAAACATCATACTGAAGTCACATGTTACAGAAGAAAACTGCAACTTTTCTACAAATGAATACATCAGATCGTTCAAAACTCTGCTGGTTTTCAAATTTAACTGATTTTATATTTCAACACAAAGCTGATGACCTCTTAAAATTATGTCAGAAAAAACAGTCAAGGTATACACCAATAAAACCTTAGGAATACATTCTAATTCTTTTTCCTAAAATTTCTTTCCTGAAATTAGGGGTATATAATTCTTTTTCCTAAAATTTCTTGCCTGAAATTAGGGGTGTATAAATCATGTGTGTAACTATGGTATTTGTCAGTATGTGCACATCTTCTTGTCAAGTCACCTCTCATTCTAGCATGTGTTACCAAATTTAGTTTTAGTGTCAATGTCAAGGGCACTTGGCATCATCTCCTTACATTTCTGTTTTGACAGTTTCACAACAGTTGACAGCTACTGCATGTTTGTCAAATTCATCTGGAGGGAAGAGAAAACTGATCATTCAAATGTTGTGGTTTATCACCCTCTACTCTCCTCACTAGACTTTTCGTTATCATGCCTGTTGATGTCACCATCCGTGCTGCATCATTATGCCTGTCCTCTCCAAAGTACATAATTGTATTGTTAAGTATAGCCACACCCAATCTCAGGAAACCATAAACATGACAGAAAACTTTTACTTGTCCTCCGACCACTGTAATAGAATATGAAGTTCAGTCTCAGAGTTCAGACCTTATGCTGGTGGCCTACCCCTCCAATAACCACTTCACACTCAACTACAAACACATGAGAAAACTTTCATTTTGGTAATTCTCCCATTAGCATAATAAGATATGCATATGACATAGAAGCTTCTGATTGCTGTCTAACCCACACCACTCATATAAACTCCTCCATTATTTTCTTCTGACTCATTCAGACACCATTATTTCAGAGCTTAAAAACCCTGAATGGGTGTGAATGGTGAAATATCAGAAGTATCACATGAATAAAACATGAATGGAACCTGATGCGCTCATAGTAAGGCTCAATGTTTATAAATACCTCACAACAGGAAAGAATAAGATGTTAAACAGTGGAGAAAATACGAGTCACAGATGCTATAGGCAGGTTCCAAATAAACACACTAATACGACACATGGGCAGCGCCATAGCTCAAGCAGTTAGTCACTGGCTTCCCACCACGGTGGCCCGGGTTCGATTGCAGGTCTGGTCAAGTGGGATTTGTGGTGGACAAAGTGGTGCTGAGGCAGGTTTTCTCCGAGCACTTCGGTTTCCCCTACCAATCTCCATTCCACCAATTGCTCCACAATCACCCTCGCCTATCATCTGGGGCTGGTACAATAGGCCAGAAGTGGCCGCAGTACAAGGGACTTAGTCCCACCCCACAAGCAATTAAAATAAAATACAACATATAGCCAATAAAGATTAAACACACTAATTAAGAAGGAACTACTAGTGTAACACATCAAAACAGATTTCTGTGGTTCTTCTTACCAAATTCATAAAATATACAAAGCAATCAAAGTCTATATGAAGTGAAATTTATCGAAGACTATTTCTTAATATTTTGTACTTACCTTGTCATGCTTGTGTGCATGACCTTTACATGAAACACTCATCTGAGTGGAGTTATTACTCCAAGGAGAAATATGGAACTGTGCACCAGACAGCAATGCACACATGGGGTGGAACATGTTCTGACACCTAGCATGGTTGCATTGAATACATGCACCACACCGATTTCCACAAAACATGCACTCCTGCAAACAAACATCACAGCTGAAATCACAATACCATCATCAACCCTACCATTACCATGACAACCACCATCATTATGAGAGCATTAGTAACATAATATGCTGTAAGAAAACATCCAGTTCCAGATTCCGTGTAATATAAAAATACTCTAAAGTGAAATGGGAAACAATATGTGTATGAATTTATCAGGATCAAATGGCCATCACTAGTAAACAGGTGTAATGCAACAAACCTCATGCAATAAAAGTAATGAATAAGTCAGACATAGACTAACATACCTCAATGCGAGGCATCTTGCAAGTACATAAATATTGTGATATGATGCCGGAATATGACCATTAGGCAATGCTTCACTAAACACATTCCCATGGCAACAAAAAACAGTGTACAACAGATAGCAGTGAACAAATTGCTACCAGGTAACTAGTTGCTAAACACAAGATTCCAGTGACAACTGACAGGATAACAGAGGACAGTTAACTGTTCGATGTCATGTCTTCCATGTGGGCCAACTAGCCATAACAGAAGTTGTGAATTCAACAGGAGCAGAGATCAGAGATCCATAATTCGAGGGACTAGAGACCAGTCCATGATTCAGACAACAGTGAGAGATTCCTTATAAAGACTTGTCAAGGAGTTCAATGTGTGAGCTGTTGTAAGGAACTGTAATTGTAAATAAGTTCCAATAAACTAAATCATTAAATCTAGAACCCACAATTATTAGTCACACTACCACCTCCGTTTTGGAGGGGGTTGACCCCTCCACAGTGTCCAATCCAGGTACTGACGCTCCGAAAAATGCTGATACCTCCTCAGTGTCGATTCTTTCTCCTTCCGCAACCTACAGAATATCCTAGTTGCTCCCTTCATGATTTTCAGCTCTAGCGTCTTCTTGAGGGTCTTATGGGCCGGCCCTATTTCTCGCAGAAGTGGTAGGTGTCTTGAGCTGCACCCTCCGATATTGATGGCGGTTGCTCTCTTCTTCTTCTTCTCATATAGAGACCGCTTGCCGCCTCGGTCCTTGATGCCGTCTTTACATTCTGGTCTCGTTTGATATCTCATGCCAAACATCTGTTTTTTGGGGATTCTAGTTACCACATCACCATTGTTTTGTCCGTAATGCCTGTGTCCTGCACAGCATGTTATCTTTATACCGGTGGCGGCCACTTCTTTCCGCTGGCATCCGAAGGTTCCCTGGGGAGTTTCCTTCTTGAAGGCATTTCTCCAACGTCGTGCCACTGTCGCGCAACGGGATGTCCTCCTGATGTTTTTCTTCTGCTGTGCCACTTCCACCCAGCGGCTCGTCCCTCTGTGGGCGACAGCCAATTCTTTGTGGGGCCCATTATCTTCCCTTGCCGAATCCTTCGCTTCCTGGCTGCGGCACTCCGCGGCCAGTTTTCAGTCCCTGCGCCTTTTCTTCGGTTCTCCGACCGGTATTATCGGAGCGTCTTCTGCGGGGACCTCTCGATGCTCCACTATGGACTGCATCACTTCTGAATGGGGTTCGATCTTCTCTGCATCTGCCTCCATTGCTTCTTGGCAGGCATCAATCTTTTCTTGCAGGATCTCCAATCGGCCATCATGTGTGCATGTCTGGCTTCCGCCTTTTCTTCGCCAGCTCTCATTTTCTTCAGCAGAAGTTCCAACATCTGCTGCATTTCCATTTTTTTTTTTTTTTGTAGTAGTGAAATACTCGATGCACAATAATTTTTTTGTGGCGCGTTTAAGTTCGTAACTAATTCTGACATCAGTGTAGTGTGTTTTGGGTGTGTCACGCAACAAATAAATCCACATAGGTCTCAAATTCCGTAGAACCTTTATTGTTCTTCACACCTACACAACCACACGCTTTACAATTGTTAGCACTTGCAGTATTACAATGACTGCTTACAATATCTCGGCCAGTACATCTGTATCTCTAGGCAACTNCATTTTTTTTTTTTTTTTGTAGCAGTGAAATACTCGATGCACAATAATTTTTTTGTGGCGCGTTTAAGTTCGTAACTAATTCTGACATCAGTGTAGTGTGTTTTGGGTGTGTCACGCAACAAATAAATCCACATAGGTCTCAAATTCCGTAGAACCTTTATTGTTCTTCACACCTACACAACCACACGCTTTACAATTGTTAGCACTTGCAGTATTACAATGACTGCTTACAATATCTCGGCCAGTACATCTGTATCTCTAGGCAACTGTCACGAGACTCTTATCCAATGCATTCAACCCCTTTTTATAACCTCGGCCGCTGCTATGCATTGGACCTTCTGTTGTAACTGTGGAGACGCTTGTTAGAGCTACAATATCACTACTGTTGTTTCCAATGCAACAGTCTATTCCAGCGTTTCCATAGAAGTGACTCTTCTGGATTCCAAACACGTTACAATATCATGGAAAATTAAGTTCAAGTGCCAATGTTCATAACAACAACAACAACAATAATAATAATAATAATAATAAAAATAATAATAATAACAACAACAACAACAAGAAGTCAGGAATAATACCAAATGAGTTTCATTGCTAAAATAGTCAATCTCAAATGATTTTGCTATGCAGAACTTTTTCAAATGCATTGCACTGTCATGAGAAAATCACTACATATGTAACAACTTCAGTCTGTGTGAATAACAAAGAAAAAAATATTGGTACTTCTGAACACAAAATCTGAATAAGGTACATTGAAATTCTGATTCAGCCTTCTTGTATTTAGTGAATACCTTTTCTGGTCCAATATAAACTCCAACATAAACTATGTCTTATTTCACAGTACTTAGCGAATTGTGATTTAGTAAATAACCTTCATTTATAGTAAGATATTCTCAACCTTCCTGGATTCATGCCTCAATTTATCATTATGGTCAGTACAACAACTGGCATTCATGTTACACTGAAATCTTCTCAGGTGTCATCTGTGTCAATGTGGATTTGGTGTCCTTTGCATTCCAAGGACAGACTGAAGTCAGCCACAGCAATGTGGAGATGATGTCTCCCACCATCTAGGGACAAAGCAACCCTTGAAGATGGAGACAGAGACAGCCTCGAAATGTCAGACACCAATTGATCGCCCAAGAAGACATCATTACATACTGTTGCCATGAATGCTTCATCTCACAGATATAAAAGTTTTCCCCTTGCTGGTAACTGTTACCATATATGGGAATGCCGAAGCTATGCCATCTGAAGGATCAGAGTCGTCCTGATTCTTGACTGAGGTTCTCTCAGTGTCTATTTAGTATGTCATGAGATATTTTTTAAATTAATTTCATATTGCTGATTAATAATTATATTTACTAGTGTAAAAATGTATTAACCTTGAATGACTGCAAGCAAAGCTATACCTTAATCATTAAACAAGGATTTCACGGTTACTCCCCTTAAAACAGATGGGGGAGTGGGGAGAAGTAAGGGGACTTACCAAACTCTGCCAGCTGTTCCTCTTACAACTAACAATGGAATACTGAAGTCCAAGAGTATTGCAGTAAATAACAAGAGAAATATTTTGTGGAAGTATCTCACCACCATAATTAAAAATGTTGAGATAGTGTGAATTCTTTAGAGTAATACATTTATTTTGTGTGTTAGCAGTTGAAAATGGTTCTAATCAAAGACAGCCTCCCTCACAAACAGAATGTGTTTCCATCAATCCTGGAAATATCTGCTACAATTCATTGCCTGAAAGCATATTTATATGCAGGGGGGACCAGCACATGGCAAAACCTCTATGCAGGATGGATTATGACAAGCTGTAAGATAATTAGGAATTTATACTCACAATCTCAATGTTTGATTTACTGACAGATAATACACTGATGGGTTCCTTGCACACAGAGTCCTTGAATGCAACCCCAGGCAGCAGCAGAGCACACAGTATGTGAGCCCAACGGGCATCTGTTGTACGTTTCAAAGCTCCACCCCTCACATAGCAGAGGCAACAATACTGAAAATATGCATATGAGTGATACCTTAACATAATACTACAATCCTATCTTAAACCATATAGATGAAAGAACAGCATATTAATACTGTATGAGTTGCATAATTAATAAAAATACTTGAACTTCAAGTGTTAACAATATGAACACCAAAACAACAAACCTCAGAGGATCCAAATTTTGAATGTAACCTTCCTTGTGATGAGTATAATATATTCTGCACTTACACTCTCTTTCTCTTGCATGTCATTTTCAACATACAGGTACTCACTCATTGATATACAGGGTCAGGCAGGGAGGTGGGAGCTTCATTATTTTCAAAATGTAGGAATCTCAGAATATGGAAGAAACGGTTTCGTACCATGATGTTACGGTAGAATGGAGTGTAGTACTGCTCATCTCTTGACCAATAATCTTTGAGGGTGTCCCGTTGATCATGGCCCATTTGAACAATTACTGCCAAAAAGTTATATATCTCTTCAATTGTAACGTCAGATGGTTGAACAAAAGGGCCTGGAGCATCTTGGCATGCCATAAATTGGTGGAAATATCTGTTGGTTTCTTGTAACAAGATTTGGAAAATTTGTTGGAAAAACAGAATGAAAATGGAAAAAGGGAGGACTGTGCATTTATATTGGGGGCAGCTGATCTGTTGATTCCACTCGGAGGACCAGTGAAGTCTAGTACCTTTGGCGAATCCCCAGGTCTTCTATCACAAAACCTAATTTCCGTTTCCTCTGCCTCATCTGATGATGATGATGATGACAACAACATATTTGCTCGAGGTTCAGTGAACTCATTGATATAACTCTTCATCAGATTCCTCTTCCATCAATATTTCCTCCAACGCTTCTGCATTGAGAAGTTTGAAATATCGGGCACGTTTTTGAGGTTCCATCATGTGGGGGGAGGGTTCCAGCAAAATCGAATAAATTATGTTGAGTGACAAAGACTCGCAAAATAGTGATACAAAGTAACTGTAATAGTATGGTACAATAGGCCAGAAGTGGCAGCAGTACAAGGGACTTAGTCCCACCCCACTAGCAATAAAAAATAATAACTGTAATAGTAGTCGAAAAGGTGCCAGTCCGACACTGATACGGAAAGTCACAGTGACGAGGATGCCTTTTACTCACAAAGTAATACTGGCTCAGTCGGTTTATACCTCTTCCAAGACACAAAATAATATAAAAAGAAATATATGACAGTCTGACACTAACTTTTTAAGTGATAAAGAAATATTACACAATCCAACACTGACTTCCTAACTGATAACTCACCACTGAAAAGCAATCCTTGAATACGTCACACTTCCTTGAAAGCTCTGGAAGCACTGATCTGCAAGCACCAATGAATCCTTCCTCTTCAGTTCTCAGAACAAAGCTGGGCTATATTTGGCTGACCAGGTCATAAACAGTCATATATAAACATAAATAGTTTCGAAACCAGGACCGAGATAAACAATTTCTTTGTTCAGAGCTAAGGAATGAACCACTGACATGACCTCACGTAGGTTTGTTTTGGTTTCAAACCCAAGGTCAAACTGTCAGCACTCCCAAAGAGTGCACATGTCCTGCGTCATAAATACGTGTCATTCGGCCAACTCCGGTTGCTGCTTGCATCATATATATGTGTCATTCGGATGCTAAAGGTTAAATGAAATCAGTATAAATCATTTATTTTTATCCAGCGCTTTAAGACAGAGAATCTACTCTTAGTTTACGTTTCTGCCAGACCACGTTCCATTATTTTCATATATTCACTTTAGAGAGATCTTGTATTTAGCTCTGAGAAGTGCTAGAAACTTTCAACAGCAACTATCCACACAATGAATTATGAACCTAATTCTCCCCACCTCTATTTTGGAACCACTACCCAGGCAAGACATCATAAACATAACTGCAACCTTTCTATACAACACTTCTGCTATTCTTAGAACATACAAAGTAGGCATATCATATAATACACTTATTTCACTTGTGAGCCTGATCTATTAGGGTCTGCTAAGAAGGGAATCAAACATGGCCAGTTCATTCTATTTCAAACTCTCTACGGTGAGTTTTGAATTTCCTATCCCTGTTCTCACATCACACATGGACATGAACATCATGTATTTCTAAAGACAACACTTGAACAAAGGCAAAACTGAATACCTCTTTACTTTTACTTCTGGGTGCGTTGGTTATTAACATATAAAATCCAATGCAAACATGAAAATAATGTACTTGGCAAGTTTAATTCTATTTTTTTGTTTACACATCAAATAAGATCACGCATCGTGCAAATGTGTTACATGAGATTTAGTTCTGCAACAAACCTAATGGTTGTACAAGGACAGAAGTAAAACAAAAAAGAAACCACTTTTAGTTAACAATTAACCTCAAGATAGCACATTTAATGTTTCCAAGAGAATGTTCCCCTTTTAACCTTTGGACCATGTGTGGTGTATCAAAAAGTTCCCCAAATTTGGATTTTGTGCGCGAATGGTTATGAGTATATCGAAATACCGCTAGGTGTCTTCCCCACACACCCTTCTTGAATCAGTGTGGCAAGCGGCATCAAGTTGAGTGGTTGGGTTTATTGTTAGTGAAAGTATTTCCATTGTTGTGTTTCCGTGAGTTTGTGGTTTTGTGATGACTGATCTGAGAAAGCAGCGTGACTGTATAAAGTTTTGTTTTAAACTTGGGAAAACCACTGCAGAAACACACCAAATGTTGAAGCAAGCTTTTGGTGACAACAGTTTAGGTCAGACATAAACTTACAAATGGCATAAGCATTTCAAAAATGGTCGAACATCAACTGATGATGACAATCGTTCGGGACGGCCATCAAGTGGCACCATAACAGAAAATGTCGCAAAGTTAGGGACCTAATTCTGCAAGATCGTAGACTCATCATCCAAGACCTCTGTAACACCTTGGGACTAAATTATGGTACATGTCAACGAATTTTGTCGGAGGAACTGAACATGAGGAGGATTGAGGCAAAGTTTGTGCCACGACTGCTGCAAAATGAACAGAAGCAGCATCACTTGGAAGTCTACAGGGAACTTCAACAACAGCTTCAAGAGGATCCACACTTTCTTTTGAAGGTTGTCACTGGTGACAAAAGTTGGGCTACGACCCTGAAAGTAAGCAGCAATCGTTGCAATGGAAGAACCCTTCTTCACCTCGGCCAAAAAAGCTCGACAAGTCAAGAGTAACATTAAGTATATGTTGATCTGTTTTTTTTTATACTGACAGGACTGTTCAAAAGGAGTTTGTCCCTCCTGGTCAGACAGTCAATAAAGAGTTCTATCGCAGTGTTCTAAGGCGTTTGATGGAGGACATGAGGAGAAAACGTCAAGAGAAGTGGCGCTCAAACAACTGGGTACTGCACCATTAAAACACATGACCGCATAAGGTTTACATTGTGCAGGAATTTTTGGCTAAAAACAAGATGGCAGTTGTTCCCCACCCACCATACTCGCCAGACTTAGCTCCATGCGACTTCTTTCTCTTCCCCAAGATGAAAATCTAGTTGAAGGGGCGAAGATTTGATACAGTTGAGGAAATTCAAGTGGAAACACAGACAGTACTAAACACTCTAACAAAGAAAGACTTTCAAGAATGCATTTCAAAAGTGGCAGAAACGCTGGGATCAGTGTATGCGCTCCCAAGGGGACTACTTTGAAGGTAATGGTGCAGAATAAGATCCAGGTAAGTAAGTAAAGTAAAGCTATCCCTGTGCCAGGTCACGAAGGCCCATAGGGTTGTGAGACGTTGAGGGTCCCACACTATCTAGACAATCGGCTCAAAGACGGCGGTAAGGTTGTTAGCCTTACACGCCAGCCGCGCTTTAATCCCCAGGAAAATTATTTAATTCCTGGTACTCATTTCTGTTAGAGGCTGAGTAAACCCCAGGGCCTAGTGCGGCTGGAAGTATTAGGTCAATTGAAAAAATCTAATGACCTCATTGGGACTTGAACCCGTGACCTTCCGTCTTGTAGCATAGCCCCTCAACCAACTATGCTATTGCGTGCCCCCCAAATCCAGGTAAGATGTAATACTTTTTATTAATATATTTTGGAAACTTTTGGATAGCACCACATATCTACAGCAAGTAACACCTCGCTGTGGCGGAATGCTATATTTATATAAGGCAGGACACGCATTCATTTTGAGTGCTGACAGTTTGATCTTCTGTTTGAAACCAAAACAAACCCATGCAAGGTCATGCCAGTGGTTCTTTGGTTAGCTCAGAACAATGAAATCGTTTATCAGAATATTGGTTTCGATATTATTATGTTTAGATATGACTGTTTATGACCTGGTCAGCCAAATAGAGCCTAGCTTTGTTTTTTGTTTTGAGAACTGAGGAGTAAATATTCATCTGGGCTCACATGTTAGTGCTTCAAGAGCTTTCAAGGATTGGTTTTAAGTAGTGAATTATCAGGTAGGAAGTCAGTGTCATGTCAGATTGTCATATATTTCTGTATATATCATTTTTATTTTGTGTCTCGGAAGAGGTATAAACCCACTGAGCTAGTATTACTTTGTGAGTAAAAGGCATCTTCATCGCTGTGACTTTCAGCATCAGTGTTGGACTGGCACTCTTTTCGACTAGTATTATAATTACTTTGCATCACTATTTTGCGAGTATTACTAACAGAAGAGAGTGTCGCTTTGTCAGTTAACATAATTTATACGATTTAGCTGAAAACCCCTTCCCCCAAGATGATTCTTCAATCCCACGAGGCGAATATCACGGTCAGTGGCGTTTCTCGGGGGAGGCCAAGTTCATCTGGGGCCCAACTGAGTCAACTGGAGGTGAAACATTCACAACACTGGCCAACCAAAGGGAAACAAAGACGATGTCATGTGCGTTCACTAAATAAGAAAAGAAGGAACACCCTTTTGTATTGTAAAAATGTGATGTTGCACAGTGTGTCGTGGACTGCTTCGAGAAGTGGCACACGCACGTCAAGAGTGTGAGGTATCGTAAACTGTGAAGTGAGGCAGTTCAAACTCGCGTACAGTCTGAACAAAATATTGTATACTCGTATAGTGTGATTATGTTTAGAAACTCAACATGTCTCAAGGTTGAAGGAAAAACTATGGGTAAGTCCTTGGGAATTTCATAATATATATAATGAAGATTATATTTTGCATTTCATGACAAAATAATCACGGTTAATTTTCGTTTGTAAAACTTGCTCTTTTGTGTATATGTAGAAAATTTTATTCTCTTTCAGTTGTTTTTAGTTTCTATTTCTATGTTGCACAGAGCGGAAAGTATGTAGTTTTTCCTGAAAGTCTGCAATGTTAAAGAATTAGGGCCAGTTAAAAGTCTGTATGTTAAAAGTTAATGGTCAGTCAAGGTCATTTGTGATATTTTACACAATCCTCATCTAAGTCTTTGATGGTGAAATTTTTGGGGAGAAAAAGTGCATGTATTATGCAAAAAGAAACAATACACAACGCCTGAGCTGTTAATATTAACCCTCTAAAACTTTTACAGACAAGTAGTATCATGCACATTAACAAATATCATGTTATATCCAAGCTGCCATTGTAATGCAAATTCACTGGCATGTCAAATTGTCTAAAACTATACAATTGAATTTGTTACAGAAGTTTACTTCCAAAAACTGTGGGCTGTCCTCCAAAAAATTATATATTTATCATTCAGCTTGACCATACTATCTAAAAAGGTAAAGTTTTGCTGTAACAGGCCATAGATGCCCACAGGGTCGTAAGACATCGAGGCTCCCACATTTACTCTATACAATCGGCTCACAGATGGCGGAGAGGTTGTCAGCCTTATGTGCTAGCCGCCCTTTACCCCCCCCAGGAAGATTCCTGGTACTAATTTCTGTTAGAGGTCGAGTTGACACCACAGCCACAGTGCAGCTGGAAGGATTAGGTCAACTGAAAAATCCTATGACATCGGGAATCGAATCCACAACCTTCTGGCTTGTAGAATAGTGCCTCAACAAACTATGTAAAATGTGGTGGACAGAATTACAGCAATTTCTAGTTTTTATAGAAATACAAACACTAAAATAAGACATTTTTATTTTGTTTATTTAAATGAAGCACAATTCATCATCAACGTTCTCTCACATATCAGAGCTCAACAAGCTAGTTTCTCATTCATACTGCACTGAATATAATGTTTCTGTCATATACTAACCACATGATGCATGCCAGAACGACATTTGTCACATGTCCAATCTATACGATCAGCAGAAGATGGCAGTACTGTCACACCATAGCAGCCTGAGTGCACACACACGCCACAGTCACGACAACTTAGAAGGAGAGAATTGTCCCCACCATCTGTCCCGCGCTTGCTCAGAGCCACGTTATTCAAATCCTGTTCACACAAGTGTCATGTTACATGTACACACCACTGTTTACACAGCACAAATTACAATTTATGTCTTAACAAATAATAAATCTGAAATATAAATTAAAATGAAACACAGATGATGACAGGTAATAGCTCAATTTGACTGCTAGGTATCACATATGAAGCCTGTGGCAAATGTGAAGTGACCCATTCCAGTTGAAATCCACATAAAATATTGTGGCAGCTGAAACCAAAACAGTAGAGCAGAAGAGATGACTGTCACTAGGGAATGGCTGGTAAACACTTTCCCAAGGAAACAGCTACCACAGCAATCAATCAACACACAACAAAAGAGGAACTGTTGCAAAAGGTGTTTTCTATGTGGTCCATTACAAGGTTATAAAACAAGAGCCTACCGGCAAGTTCAGTTATGGCTAGGGAAGTCATGAGAGTTGGTGAAGCATAGCCAGTTTAAACCAATTGAGAATGACCATGAGTTATGGCTGAGAAGCCAAAAATGTAAGGAAAGCTAGAGCCATGTGAGAGAGTTGCCAGCCAGTAACAACATGAGAAGAAGAGGATATCATTGGCATCTGTTACCAGGCATCCACTAGTGCAGATGAACTGAGAAGAATTAGTGCAAGCTATAGTGAACTGTAAAGTGCACAAATTAGTCAAAGCACTACAATTACTTGTAGTTAGTTTTAGTGTCAAATAAATCCATTTCCGATCCAAACCCTGTGTCTAGTCACTAAACATGTGACAATACAAAGTTATAACTTAAGCCAACATAACTGCTTAGCAGCTAAGTATTGTAATAGTGTCTCAAGATAATTGAAGATCAAAATGTGTGAAGGTGAGTTTTATATAAAATTTTATTTCAATGGTATAGATCATGAGTATAATTTCTACACCAATCAATAATACAGAAGTGGACAGAGATGATGATGATGCTGCTGCTGCTGCTGTAACCACCACCACGGCCACAGTCAAGATCACCACCATACCACCACTTCAGCACAACCATTTTCTTTAGACTAACGTCACTATGCACTATATTTTAATGCCACCACTATTTACAAAGTGCTACTGTAAAGTTCCTGGACTCTCACTGTTGCAACTGCCTTGGTGAAAGATGAGAGGGGAGGCCAAGGTCATACTTCTGCAAGCCTATTGCATCAGTCTGCCATGTGACACTGTGCTGTCAACATGCCTTGTTTTTACATGAGTGCTCTTTCAACTTGGGTTTCATTCTGTCTGCGATGGATGGCAAAATCGAGCAATGTGTCTGCACCAAGTTTTGCATGAAGCTCAGTAAATTGGCTACCAAAACTCTTGAAATGCTTCATGAGACCTTTGGAGAACATTCTTTAAGCCAGAGAGTGATTTTTGAATGGCATTCACGTTTCAAGGTTGGTCGAGTGTCAGATGAAGATGACAAACATTCAGGGTGACCAAGCACCAGCAAAATGACAAAATGTTGAAAAAATTCCAGAACTGATCCATGAAGACCATCACCGAACAATCCATGAGCTCACAGACACCACTGGAATCAGTTATGGAGTTGGTCAGGAGATGGTAACAGAAAATTTGGACATGCACAACATTGCCACAAAGTTTGTTCCCCAACTCTTGACAAATGACCAAAAGCGTCTGCACATAAATGCATGTCTTGAGCTACGAGAGAAGGCAAATGAGGACCCCAACTTTTACGAATATCTCTAGGATCATAATGCGTGATGAAAGTTGGAGTTACCTGTACGGTTATGATCCAGAAACAAAGCAACAATCATCGCAGTGGAAGAGCCAACAATCACCAAGAGCAAGAAAGGTGCAGCATGTCTGAAGTTCAACAGAGAGGATGCTCATTTTTTGTGACATGAAGGTAATTGTTCACCATGAATTTGTTCATCCTAACACTACAGTCAACTCTGACTTCTACTGCGACATTTTGAGACATAAACTTTTAGAGAAAAAGTAAAAATTTCAGCCAAGGAGAGGGTAAGTTATTGGAAACTGAAGAAGCATGAGCCATGGTTCAATAAATGATGTTCAAAACTACAAGAGCAAAAGAAACAAGCTAAAATGCAATGGTTACAGAATCCCAGCCAAGTAAATAAAAATAATCTGATAATGTAAGACATGAATCTAGCATACATTTCTCGACCAGAAAGCTGGAGTATCTGAACAACAAAATTAATGAGCTTAAAACACAGCGAGAACCATATCAGAGGAATAAATAAATGTAAAAAGAGCTACCAACCTTGAACTAACATAATGGTGAATATAAGAATTATGTCACTCAGTTACTGAATCCACATAGGATTAGTGAAGTTAGGCAGATGGAAACACCATACAGAAGTCACTAGTACCTGAGGATGAAACTGCCACTGCAAAGTTGAAAAGTTATGAATCACCACATACTGAACAAATTCCACCAGAACTGATTGAAGCAGGAGATATTCACAGATCCACAGACTCATTAATTGTGTTTGGAAAAAGGAAGACCTGCTTGAGCAGTGAAATAGTTTATTAATTGTTCCGATTTATGTGCATGGCAATAAACCTGACTGTAGTAATTATCAAGGCATATCACTGCTATCTACTTCATACAACATTTTATCCAATATCCTTCCCGCAAGGTTAAGTCTACACGTAGACAAATTTACCAGGGATCGTCAGTACTAATCAGATGTTCTGCATTGGTCAAATAACGGAGAGAACATGAGAATACAATCCACACACACAACTGTAGAATTGAAGCAAGAAAATTCCAGGTGCAGTCATGTGAAATGTCAGATGGTTGCTGTAGACAGTTATGTACACCAAGTGTACAAATACCGAAAATGTGTTCACATGATTGTCAAATCCTCCAAAACTCAGAGACACCAAATACAGCAATGTTTGCCATACAGCAAATTATATAGTTATAAACCGAATCACTTTAGAAACAACATGTAACTTTGACTTTTCCTAAGACTGGTTTCTGACTGTATGTATTATAATTAGTATTTATGGCAGTAAATATTTTCTTTCATTAGGTATCAACTTTTCCAATCGTAAATAACAAGTACCTCAAGCCTGTGCCACTACTACTGCAGGAATGACACATGGCACCTCTGCTGGAAAACTAGCCTTTATTTACATAGGTGAGTCAGAAAGTTTCAGCAGTGATTTATTTTAAAGCTTGCCGTGTTGGCTACACTGCTTATTTTGCATGCAAGTAGAAACATGAACTCATTACATGACTGTGAAATACTTTCAACCATGACTGGCTTAATTGTAGCATTGCTGTAGCATTGTTAAAATGACTGCTCCACTTTATGTTTGCAGCAAAGAGCAGTGTGCAATGATATGATATTGGGGGGGCGAAGGTGTACCAGTGTACCAAATGCTTTCCTGTGGCAAAGTGTGTATAAATGGACGACAATGTTCAAAAATGGTTGCACAAGTGTCACAGACGCAGAACAATCAGGATCCCCCTCCATATCCATTACACAAAAATACACTGAATGAGTCCAAGCCATGATTCTGGATGATTAACAGGTGATATCATGAAGTGGCGCATCATACGACCATTAGTCATGGTTTTACTCATGGAATCATCTATGACCAGCTTGGGTATCATAATGTTTGAACAAGATTAGTTTCAAAACAACTCACAGGAGAACAGAAACACAGGTACTAAAAATCCATTCTACAATGGTTGTATGGTGTAGTTCAGTGAGCAGGAACACAGCAAGCAATGCAGCCATCATGTACAAACAGCCTCTCCATCACTCTCATCATTATTATTTTGCTGTTGTTATTACATCACTGCTGTTGGTGGTGGCATCTTAGCAAATTAGTATATCAATGAAAATCTTGAGGAACATGGTATTACTATGGAATGAAGCATTCATGTCTTGCACTGTATACAGTGACTTAAAGTGTGATGCAAAACATAGTTACAAAACAGAACTTAAGTCTTATTCTGACCTTTACAATTGGAAGTTTCTGCAGGATGAAAAGCGGCCTCCGTAGTCTAGGGGTAACGTTCCCACCTCATGACTCAAGGTACACGGGTTCAAAAACCTGGCGGAGGTCGTGGAATTTTTAAGGGCGGAAAAATTCAGGGAACAAGTACTCCGAGAGGGACTTTAAGCCGTGTGTCCCGTGTCGTAGATTTACGGCACGTAAAAGAACCTCATGTCTCTAGGAGACCTCTGAGCTAAATTACAGGCCCTTTCCTGCCCAAGTAGTCTCCAATGCCTCTGGTGGATGGGGGAAGCATCAAGGTACCGGGGGCTGACCTCATTGGCTCTACGGGGGCTGATGGCACGCACCGTTACCAGTAGGGTATGGCGACAGTAGAAATTAAAAGGGGGACGTACAATGGACAAATAACTGGTCTAAGTGCATGGGGAAACCCACCCCCTATCATAATACATACAATACATACATTCTGCAGGATGAAAATAAAGAAGAAAACAATACATGACACCACAAACAAGAGTGAGAGGTGTGTCAGAGTCAATGGCTATATGTGCCTGGATAAGAATCAAAGTAGATCACATAACCCAGTATACAATTAATTAAAATGAAACATGTGTCAATATGAAAAGTGGTCTAACATTTGGCAAGGCAGTAAAATAAAACAACAAATTTCAGATATGTGTATATCAGCCATTTGCATAAAAGTTTTTGAAGAAAAAAATATTACAGAAATATACCTACTTTACTATATTTCTCTACAAGCAATTAGCAATTATGTCAGCTGCTAGAATACACACAATCTTTGAAATCGAATACAATAATTATCTTTTCAGTAAATCTGATATGGAGGATATGAAAGCCAATGAGTGAAACAATGAAATTCAACAGCTTCTAAGAGAGCGGTTACCTTATAAGTTACAAAGTGACTTGAGGAAAGCCATACTGGACTTGTTGATGGCTTCTCAACAGGGTCAGAGTACTTCCAGTCAGCAGGCATACCACCACCACATCCCTAAAAAAATTTTATGTAATTTTCATAGTGATTAGATCATTCAACTTTTCTAGAAGAATGTCAAGGTGGACTCAAGAACACATTTTGTTATATTGGGTCCAATGTCAAGGCAAACTGACATTCAGCTATGTTACGACATTACACTTAACCCTTATTACACAATGGCTACTGTATATGCTGCCTACTTTAACACTGCCAGATTCTCTGTTTTGTCCACAAAGTATACTAATATGTTTCATGTGATTCTCATACTAAACAACCAACTGGTCTTTGAAATAGAAATGCATTGTTATGCTCTGTGAGGTACGATCTCATGCTTCAAAGGGTTAAGTGGTCACTCCTGCTATCTACTGGCTATCATACAAAACTGCAATAATGTGCAATTCACAAGAATAAACAGCCCCTACAAATTATAGATATATATTCCATACCAGAAGTTTACCTAGGAGAAGCGAGATATGTATGCACACACAACATACATACATATACATATTCTTCCCCTCCAACCCCATTTCGCTATTTAATGAGTATTTCTAGCAGTCCTGTCTTCTATATACACTTTCAAATATGCCTCTTCAAATTCAACCCACCCTGTTCAATATGTAGGGATAAGCAATGAAATGTTGTCACTTTGGACTAAATGATATGGCTGAGATTTCTTAAAGAACAGATTATATTTCCCTTTCCCCCCCCCCTCTCGAAGCATCTGGCATATCTCAGTTAAAGTATCTTCATCAGTACCATTCAACTCACCTTGCCTCTGCTGAATGCTGTACATAATGAGCAAAATGGGGCTGCCCGGCTCCAGTAATTGTTGAATGCCTTCTCTAGCTTAAGATTTGGAGGTGCATTTTGCAGTATATCCTGCAGATATCCAGGACCTATGACAATACAAGTATATGTAGAATTAAACAATGAGAATAAACTAATTTTAAAGCAACAATTTCTGTCTTGTTCTTTGGTTTAACAAGATACATCGTCCCTTTAATTATAAAAACAACTGCAGGGATAATAATTATACATCTCAGTGCTCTATAATTGTGCATAACCTATATTAATGTTTATGCCTAACTTACTCACTTACTTATAGAGCTGAGCCCTCCTGGAGGAGCCGCCAATTCTGCAGCTACTCAAGAATTTCCCAGCATTTTATGGAACCCAAAGGTTCATTACCGTGTTCACAAGAGCCCTCCACTGTTCCCTATCCTGAGCAAGATCAATCTAATCCATACCATCCAATCCTATCTCTCTAAGATCCATTTTAATACTGTCCACCCACCTACGCCTTGGTCTTCCCAGTGGTCTCTTTCCTTCTGGCTTTCCCACCAATATCCTACACGCATTCATGTCCCCCATTCGTGCTACATGTCCTGCCAACCTCATCCTCCTTGACTTGATCATTGTAATTATACTTGGAGAAGAGTACACGTTATGAAGCTTCTCATTATGCAGTTTTCTCCAACCTCCTGTCACTTCATCTCTCTTCGGTCCAAATATTCTCAACACGCTGTTCTCAAACACCCTCAGTCTATGGTAGACTTGAAAGGATTCTGACGATGGTGTATACTGTACTTCTTTTGGCTTGTTTTGGACTTCATCCATCGTCTGGTATGTAAAAGACAAAAGATCATGTTTCGGAGACTGGATCTGTCTCCCTCTTCAGGTGGGTGGGGAAGGAGACTAACTCTTTCTAACGGACCCAACTGAGTAGGTTTATCCTTCCCCACCCACCTGAAGATGGAGACAGATCCAGTCTCCGAAACATCATGGTCTTTTGTCTTTTACATACCAGACGATGGATGAAATCCAAAACAAGCCAAAAGAAGTACTTAGTCTATGTTCCTCCCTTAATGTCAGAGACCAAGTTTCACACCCATACAGAACCACGGGCAAAATTATAGTTTTGTATATTCTAATTTTTATGTTTTTGGACAGCAGACAAGAGAAGACAAAAGGTTCTGGACTGAATGGTAGCCAGCATTACCCGAGTTCAATCTCCTCTTAATTTCCTCCTGAATCAGGTTTTGATCTGCTATCATTGTTCCCAAATATCTTAAATGTGCCACATTTTCAAAACATGTGTTCCCTATCTTTATGTCATGATTTTGCCCTACATTTTGGTGATGAGACAGCAGCATATCCTTAGTTTTCTCTGTGTTTACTTCTAGACCAAGTTCTTTACTTGCGTCAATTAAAGTTTGTGTGTTTTATACCTAACACGTGAAAATTGTCAGATATACCTTAAAATATTCAACCAACACTATGTTCACAATACTGAGCATGCATAAAGTCATACAAATCTGCTGTTTTGTTGAAGATCAATATGATACCAAATTCCATATGCCAAGCTACAACCGTTCAACACCCACTTCTTTCACAAGCAAACGCACACACATATTTCAGGTGGACATCATGTCACTATGAAAGTTGTATGCAAAAAATAATCTTAAAATATTCCGTCATAATAATTTTAGGTTTATTTTTCCTCTGTCATTGCCATAATCTTTCTGTGCTCAGATTATGAAACTGTAGTTGTTATTTACATATTTATGAACATAAGTGCATTTGGCAACATCATATGTGACAGTACACCATTAGCGACTACTGTGGACTGTGCACATTACAGAATATTGTAAACTGGGTGACTCGATTGGAGGTGGCACACTTCAGAATTTTTTAACTGTCATAATTAAATAAGTTTTGAAAACATTTTGGTAAGATTAGTAAGAAAACTACCCATTTCATGTTAACTTTTGAATATACTTCTATTAAACTGCTGATTAAATGGTATCTTTTAATTCAATTTTTGTGGTATTCTTGTTGTTAGGCCCCTTCTTGATATATGGTATGCTTTATATTTCTCCTTTGCATCTGCTGATACTGTGTGTGAAATCTGAAGATAGGACTTGCACCACAGTGGTAAAATAGGATAAGAAAGAGAACAAAAATATTTACTGATATGCTGATAGTGCCCCTGACACGTTTTTGAGGGGTGTCAGAAATGTGTGTGTGGAAAAACAGAGCAAGTCCTGCATCTGATGTAATCCAGGTGTTTTATTTGTAATATGCATAGGCTGCTGGTGTGTCAGCCCCATTAGTGGTCCAAATCTCTGTCAATGTTATGAATTACTGGACAGCAGTCATTACTTTATAATTCCAGAAGAATGGACCACTTGACATGGGCTGTTAGCCCTGGACTACCAAATACAATACCCAAGGCAGATAAGCTTCCTGGCACTTGGCATGTGTGTGTTGGGTACTGAATTTAAGAGAATTAGGTCAAATCCAGAATATGTATCAGGAACTGTTGTACCTGTCATCAATAAGAACTGATCCACAAAATATATCATGTGAATCAAGATCTCTCAAAGAATAAACTGTGTAGAAGGTGGGAAATTAAATTAGTCAGCTCAACAGTGTTTCCTGATAGTACCACTGAGAACCAAATACTGCATACTGCAACTAAGATACTGGATGCAATGAAATGGGCCACAGTGACTTGTAATGGAGTGTGATGCTGACTAGAGCAAAGAAGATCCAGTCCTTAACCAAGCCATCCTTCCACTGGCCCATCACCATCAAGGTCGTCATAACGGTGGGCTTAAAACCACATATGCTTAATATATGAGAGAGAGAGAGAGGTTACTTCCTGAAGACGATGGCTGGGTCACAATACTGTGTTAGGGACTGTAGGTCAGGGAACTGTGTACAGACACCATTCAGCTTCATTGTAGCAGGTCCATAAAGTGTGGTAAAGAGTAAATAACTGCAGAAAAGTGAAAAATGTTGTGCCTTCAAGGGAGAATCTTCCAGTCTCCCTCTATGTTTACTTTCAGAAGTACCTGAAATGTAAGCCAGCAAGTCTGATGTGTCAGATTGGGAGAAATGAGAAACTTGTTGAGTAAAACACAAGCAGATATGGAAAAAACATGTATGGAGACATTGGTGAATGTGGGGGTTTTGTGGTAGGCAATCAACATTAAAAGGGGGCTCGCAAGGAAGATGAAAGAGATGATAATAGACTGGTATTGATAATTCAAGGAAGCGGTAGAAGGAAATATGAAGGAAAGGAAAACTTAAAAGCCCCTATTCTGCACTCCGGTCGGGATGTGGACTGACCTGTCTCAAAGGGACATATGTTTCTAATATACAAAAGTAAAATAAGGACAACAGCAGCAAGGTCCTGTTTCTTTTTTAATTAAATAATTCACATTTTTCCTCCATGACTGATGCATTCCCTGCAATGAACACATACACAGTTCACAATGGCCCCATGCTTGCTTTACAATATCATTGATGGTTTCAGTGATACCAACTTCCACTTTATCCACACATTCAAATTTTCTCTATAAAACCTCATTCTTCAAAAAACCCAGTATGTAAAAATCTGATACAGTCAGGTCTAGGCAGTGGTGTGATCATGGAACAGGAAACCTTTTCCAGCCCAGTCCCTCTCACCCATTTGTGCAGGAATCACATGCTCTACAAAAGGGCAAGCTATGGGAAGAAAAGAAAACAAAAAGAACACATCACATACCTGTAACCAAAACATCAACATAAGTCTATAGGAAGAATCCAGTGCTAAATAAGAACACACTGGTGAACACCTGAAAATCTTGCAACACCAAGCAAAAGAGATGCGACAACATAATGAAAAGAATATATACATAGCTTTTAACACATACTTTAATTTCAATTCCAAATTAGATTTAAAAAGAAAATTGTAATATCTAATATATTTCATAACATAAGGTCATTACATAAACAACATACCTGTAAAAAGTACACCCAATGTGTAAACACTGGCCAGTGTAGGCAGGTATAGCAGATGGAAGGGTGATTGTAAAGGCCCAATGTGCCTGACAATGGCCACAAGAGGTAGAAACATACAGTACATGCAAACGTATGGTGTGTTTACACCAGGACTGTGTTGAGTGAATAATAATATTAAACATTAGACTTTCCCCTTAGAAAAAGCACAATAATTCACATATCGCAGCACAGGGTTCCTTCTTCTCAGAACCATGTTTCTGCAAGCATTTCGCTTTCACATTGAAATTCAGGAGGTATAAAGTTCTGTAAAATGTCTAGGTAACATTCAATAGTTCAGTAACATATTATTATCCTCAAAGAAACATGGCACAGTCGGCAACAGTACACTACAGAGTGACTCAGTCTTCCTCAGTGTAACTTTTCAGGATATTATTCAGCCTAGAAACTACTGTACTGCTTCTTTACACCTCCACTAAGATCAATGCAAGCCTCATCTGTCATAAAAAATTGAAAAAGCAGTAATGTACCACAGTCAGAATTTCAAGGGCTTGCTCTGTGACATGGGAGGCAGGAGAAAAAACTTAAAGGTAACTGCAGCACATGTCATATATACAGGGTGTCCCAGGAGGAATGGACCAAACTTCGGGAGGGTGTTCCTTATGTTAAAGTATGCCGATATAACCCAAAACACCTATGTCCAAAGTTGAACGGTTTCGGAGATAATGGCCCAAGAAAAGTGTGGTCTTCTGGCAGGTCCACGCACTGTACCTCTCAGCTGAGAGGCCTTATCTGTGTTTGTCCTTGAGTGCGGTGATACACCCTAGCTGGGCTTATGTAGTTGGCTTTATCAGAACGCGCAGTCAGTACGTTACATCAGCGCTTGCCATTCATGTGTCATGTATAGTGCTTGGAAACCCTAAGGACAATTATGACATGGCAAGTGAGTTTTTTGTACTTCAATTTTATGGCTTCATGTCACTCACAAGTTAGTTTGATGTTACGTACATTATTAACCTTACAGAATCCACATATCCCTGCCAGTTTTAATATGTATTTTGTAATCAACAAGTGTGCAACGCCGGTCAAAGTTTGACACTTCTCTGGCCATTATCTCCGTAACCGTTCAACTTTGGACATAGGTGTTTTGGGCTATATCAGCATACTTTAACATAAGGAACACCCTACCAAAGTTTGGTCCATTCCTCCTGGGACACCCTGTATACTGCATAATACATATAATGTAATACAACAACCAAATAATTACTCCATGGAGCAGAGTCCTTCTCAAGCAGCTAATATTTGTTCAGCTCGAGAAGAAATTCTCTTTATCTTAAGTAATCCAAAGGTATCAGGTTCACTAGAACTAGCAACTGGTCCCTATGATCAGTCCGATAAATCCAGTCCACATGCTCCCATCCTATTTCTTTATGGTCTGCTTGAATATCCTTCCATTAAGTCCTACATATTCCAAGCAGTCTCTTTCTTTCAGATCATGTACAAAAACTTTACATGCATTCCTCTTCTTTCCCATGCATGCTACATGCCCCAACCATAACATCCACCATAATCTGATCTTCCTACAAAAATTCTGTGCAGAGTACATATTATGAATCTCCTTATTATGTAGTTCTCTGCAGCATCCTATTGTCCTCAGCACCTTGATCTCAAACACCCTCAATGTATGTTACTCCATTAATGTGAGAGATGACATTTACACCCATATAAATCTAAGGAGTTTGTTGTTTTTCATCCTACCTTGTTGTCGTCCTATGTTTGTTCGTAGCGTGCGGTGTTGTTTTTACTGTTCTAGTATGTACTGTGTCATGCAATTTATACTTCCTGAGTTTGTGATGTTAATGTGGATGTGTTCCGATGTTGCATTATGAGGTCAAACATGTTACATTGGTTATTACTGTCCTTTGTGTGTTTTTGTTCTTCTATTAATTTATTGACCTTATTAAAACGATATATATGGAAATCTTCTTTTACATTCATGATGCCTCCTTTTATGGCTTTCTCAATCATTTCCATGATTATTGCAGAACTACCTTCCCAAGAAAGACAGGCAGCACAAGTTCGGCCCCATCAAGAAAAACGAAAGGGCAAAGGACACAAACCAATTCGGTTAAAGAATTTTAACTTAAATAACAAAATTTTTTTTAAAGAACTTTAATGCATCGAGGACAATTGCTGTAGTTGTAAGAAATTTGGATTTTGTATAAAGTGTATATTACAAATATTGTACGAGGGGGCACCCAAAAGAAACCAAACTTATTTTTTTTTAAACTTATTTATTCAAATTTTAAGCACAAACCTTCAATCCCCTTCAAAGTACTCTCCACTTACACTAATACACTTGTCTAGTCTTTTATTCCATTTTTCAAAACATTGTCTAAATTCATCTTTTGAGATGCTTGACAGCGCCTCCATCGTTTTTTCCTTCACCTCAGTAACATGAGCAAAATGCTTTCCTTTCATGTCTCTTTTCATTTGAGGAAACAAGAAAAAGTCGCACGGGGCAAAGTCGGGTGAGTATGGAGGGTGAGGAACAGGGGTCATACCATTTTTGGTCAAGAACTGTCATACAGACAGGGCTGTGAGAGCAGGGGCATTGTCATGATGGAAAAACCAGTCACCCGACTGCCACAAATCTGGCCGCTTCCACCGCAAACTGTCCGTCGTCGATCTTCCTTGATGATTTCATGAATTTTTTCAACATTTTCATGTGTTCGGGCCGTGGAAGGACGACCAGAACGAGGTTTGTCATCAATTGACATTTCACTATTTTTTAAACGGGAAAACCACTCAAACACTTAAGTTTTCCCCATAGCATCATCCTTGTATGCCGTTTTTAACATTTCAAGAGTTTCTGTTCCACTTTTCTCGAGCAAAAAGCAGAATTTCACTGCCGCACGCTGTTCACGAAAATCAGCCATTGCAAAAACGACGATCACACAAAACAGTTGTCACTATAAACTCTGCCGAAACTAGTCCTTACCTTCTGAAGCAACGGCAGTCGGCTTATCAACTCAGGAATGTTAGCTCTATGCGCTCATAGCGGCAAAACACGGTACTACAAAAGCTCTGCCCACAAAAAAATTAGTTCGGTTTCTCTTGGGTACCCCATCGTTTATTTATGTATTTTAAAAATCAAAACACCCAATGTAATAGTAGTTTCTAAAAGTATTGATGTTCCCTCCGATGATGGTCTGTAGGGACCGAAACATGTTAGGGTGCTAAAAAGTGAAGCAGTAAAAGCTTCAACAGTCACACTGGACAGAACTGTTTCATCATTTGTAATACTGTTAGTGTGACGGACCAGAATGAAACAAATCAAATTCACTGAGTTATGATATAACCCTACAAGGTCTCTAGGTATGATATGTATAAATAAACATCTCATCTTAGAAATATATTGTCACATTCACGTCTGAATCAAATAACCTTTATCATAAGTACACTGCACAACTGTGCCAGTGCATGCACTGATTCAGCTGCCACCAGCAGGCTTAACAATATGAAACCTATTACCACCAAGTCTGTAACCAGTTGACAGGGCTATAGAAGCAGGGGATTTAACTCCAGCTGATTAAGGTTAACAAAACTTACATTTTCGGTTCTTTGCAGTGATGTGTGCAGTGCTGGCAGTCTTAATACTTGTATTATTCTCTGGTGTTAACTGAGGAGGCTGGCTACTTCCCTCCTCGCCACTGGAAGTCAACTGGTGAGAAATGGCTGGCTCAAGCAAAGGAGGAGATACTTCAAGTGATGGTGGTGTGGTATCAGTTGTCTTCTCCAATATCACCTCATGTCCAAGTGATGGACAATGCTTGTCCGGCTGAGTCATTTGTGGCTTGTTGTTGCTACTGGTCACATCAGATGTTGGAATGTTCCCCTTTTGGAGACCTGGGAGAGACTTGTCAGAAGTATTATCATGTCCAAACAGTGTGACAGAATTATCATCTCTGTCTGTTGCCAACATGCTTTCAACACAAGATTCCAGAGCCTCTTGCAGTTCAGTAGTATAACGAGACATCTTGCCATGTGCATTATGTATGATGTACTTTGGCTTTCTTCGGTTTGGCTTCCGATTTGTTGTCACAATTGCTGTGCTCTGCTCTTTAATGGACAATGGCAGAGCTGATGTAGGCTTCCTTGTTATTACTACCTTGGAAACATGGGGAGGAGTGGCGAACATGTTTGGTTTATTCATCTGGCTGGGCTTCACCACCAACTCAGACTGGCTCAGTTTTGAAACAGACGAAGTAACGGGTTTGTGTGGGAATGTAATATTGTCAGGTTTTGATACCAACCGGGATGAACTTGGCTTTGGAATATAAGATGAAGTACCAGACATTCCTGAAACTGAAACATCAACATGGGAAGTCTTTGTAAACTGCTGGGACTCTTCTGATTTCACACCTGTGTTTGTCATCTCACGGAGTGTATCTTGTTCAGATGCAGCAACTTGCACTGAATGGAGAGGTGGCCCCAAGGACATACTCTTTGAATTTGTGGAGACATTGCTAGGTTGATCAAGTTCATAAGTGGCCCTTTGGTTGGGCCGACAGCTCTTTTTAGCAGGTTTCACTCTGTGTAAGGGCTTTATTTCACCTGTCTCAGTGTTACATAAGTACACTTCATTCTTGCGGTTTATCTGGATCCGAAACTCAGTCTGAGGTTTAGGTTCACATTTTGACTTTTCCATTTTTGAACTTGTGCAAGGAATTTCTGCCTTAAATACATTAGCGGTGTGTTCAGAAACGGTACTGCTCGTGCTTGCAGTTGGCACTGCTGGACTATTAGACACTTTGTTGTCTGAAAGGTGGGTGGAAATCTGACCTGTGTCCAGCTTCACATCATAACTCAGCTTTGGTTTGTGAAGGCTAGAGACTGGAGTCACACTGACTTCTCTACATTTGTGCAGAGCTGCCATTGTCTCCTGCAGGGAATGAGAATCTGCATCTTGAATTCCAGCAGATGTACCAACACCCTGCTTCTTCAATTCTAACAACCCATCTACTGCATTTATCACTTTCTTATGTGATTCTATTTCTGACAAACCTGAAGCTGATGCCAAACCTGTCACAGGAATCTGCATTCTATTCAATCTGTCACATTCTACTCCAGAAACAAATGTAGGTGTTGTCATCATTGTTGCTACTGTATTGGTCACAGAAACAGAAACTGTTTCAGTTTCAATCTTTTCAGTTCCCATCATTTCAGCTTCAATTTTTTCAGTTTTAATTCCTTCAGCTCCATTTTCCCTACTTCCAATCTTCATCTTCACAGACTGTTCACATTCACTCTCATCGTTTTCAGTCTTATCAGTTTTAACAATGTAATGTTTCAGTTCTACTATGCTATGTCTATCTAAGCTCTCAGCAGCCACTGCAGAATTCTGAATACTACTTAGAGAACTGCATGTTTGTGAATTCCCAAGAGATTTCACAGCTGAGCCCTGGTTTGAAACATAAGTACCTTTTGCAACGTGACTGCCAAATTCAACTACAGAATTCTTGCCGACATCCTCCATCTTGATGGTTTCCCTTTGCCCAGTGTCTTCATTACTAATTGTGGTTTCCTGTTTGCCACCTGCAAGGTTATCCTTATTTTCACCACTGTCTAGTAACTCACGCCTTTTGTAATATGTTCGACTCTTCTTATTAGTCTGCATAAATCTGACATATTCATCCAGGTAACCCACAGATTTTGATGGAGAACACGCAATGGGCTGATTTCCAGTAACAGGTCCTGAATTTCGGGATGGTGATGTGAAGACCTGACCAGCTCTAGAATGAGGCGCACCAGATTTGGACACTGCTAACTGCATTTTGACATCTGCAACAGTAACATCATCATGTTCCCCACACATATTATCATAACATCCATTCATGCACATCACTCCACAGAAACTCCATAAAAATATGTTTCAAACAAGCATACATTTTCAGTGTTCATACAAAATAATATATTGTGAAAGAAAATTGTGTTCCTCCACCTGCACAATTACAACCAAGAACAGTATCTGCTTATATGAAATGATACATATGGAACTGTTCAGGAGATTCAATTTGCACAAGAAGAAGTGGCAGTGGTGAAGACAACATGAAATGTGAATAAAATGAAAAAACTGATGATGGTTTATACTTTTAAAAAGCTCTCATTTCCAAACTCCGTTCAATAATAAATTTCAAGATTAGGAAATTGATATTTTCAAAGATTTAAAAGTTATTAATACAAAATCTGATTCCTTTGAAGCATATCTCACATCAAATTAATTCCAACAGTCACAAAAAAAATAAGATGTCATAATTCATTTTAAAAGTAAAGGCATCCCTAACAGGCCGTGGAGGCCCATAGGGTTGTGAGACGCCAAGGCTCCCATATTTTCTAGATAATCGGCTCACAGATGGCGGTAAGGTTGTAGCCTTTCGCATCGGCCACCCTTTAACCCCCAGGAACATTCCAAGAATATTCCTGGCACTCATTTCTGTGAGAGGCTGAGTCGACCCCAGGGCCAAAGTGCGGCTGGAAGGATTAGGGAAATGAAAAAATCCAATGACCTCATCGGGATTTGATCCTGCGACCTTCCACCTTGTAGCATAGTGCCTCAACCAACTACGCTACCTTGCGCCCCCCTTAATTCATTTTATCCATGTTTTTTTATTGTGTAACAATTCCCTTTTATTCAATGGGCAGAGGAATAGACTATGAGGAAAATAGGAACAGAGCAGGACATGTTTTAAATTCACATTATTTGGTTCCTAATACAAAGGATTACAATTATAATACAAATTCAGCAAACACCTGCTCAAGAAACAGAAGAGTAATCATATATCAAACACTTTATGCAAACAATCGACTAAAATAATGCTAAAATGGCACAAAGGAGCAAAGCAGAAAAAGCATCTAAAATACACGAAGGCCCAAACATTAACAAAATAAAAAATCATGCAAGCAAAACGAAAGCAGACTTAAGCCAGTCACATTTTCAGGTAATTTGGTATCTCTCAAAGTTCTTTCTGTGCTGGGTTAAACCACATTCTATGTGTATAAGTATGCATATGTGTGTGTGATTACCTCCTTCCTACTTTGTTTTGTTTCAATTGAAGAGATGTGATCCGCGCAGTACAAAGTGGACTGACTTCTGCAGATAAATCACACACCTGTCTGACAAAAGCTTAATCAATGTACCTCACCCAGTAGCGTAGTTGGTCGAGGCACTATGCTAGAAGCCAGAAGGTGGTGGGATTGAATCCCGATAAGGCAGATTTTGTCAATTTACCTAATCTTTCCAGCAGCACTATTGCCCTGGGGTCGACTCAGCCTCTAACAGGAATGAGTACTAGGAATATTCTTGGGGGTAAAGGGCAGTCGGCGCATAAGACTGGCAACCTTACCACAATTTATGAGTTGATTGTCTAGAAAATGTGGGAACCTCAACATCTCACAACCCTATGGGCCTCCACGGCCTGTTACAGGGATAGCTTCATTTTACTTTTTTTTTTTTACCTCAATCATGGAGCACTGCTTTACTTACCTGCTGAGTGCTGGGATGAGTGCCTGGAGGGGACACAATGTCTGGCGACAATATATACCTTCTAAATGTTCCACACATAAAAATGTTGGTTTTTGGCTTAGTGGGGGGTGGAGTCCAACTAGGTCCACTTGGCATGACGGCCACTGATTGGCCTATGTCCCAGGTGATTATGATGATTGAGAATTTGGTGGAATGAACATCAGCAGGGAAAACCGAAGTACTCAGAGAAAACCCGCCCCAGCGCCACTTTGTCCACCACAAATCCCACTTGACCAAACCCGGGCCACCACGGTGGGAAGCCAGCGACTAACTGCTTGAGCTAAGGCGCAGCCTTTAAAAATTTTGCTTCATCAGAACAGCAAATTCTGTTGAGACAGGTCCCATCCTCATCAATGTGGGGAAGCATTTCTAGAGCAAACCATTTTCTTGGGTCCTAATCTGTGAGTGTTAACTTCTAACCCAACTAAAGCCTGTAAGTACATAATTGTAGCCTCTCGTGCAAAACACCATGCACAGCTCAGTGAGAAAGGACTCATTCTAAATTTGTTCAGTGAACAGGCTTGCAGAGGCTCTTGTGAAATATTTTGCCTATGCATCCAGCAATGTGTGATGGGAAGGCCATTGCAGTAAGACATTCCCCATCTCTTTTACACATCATTCCCACTGCATCACAGACATGTCAATCAGTGTTGCTTGGTTCACACACATCTGATTAAATTTATGTCAAACTCAAGTGCATCACTGAGACTCAGCCAACCAAAGAACTCAAGTCCACTTTCTGCCATACACAGTATAACTGCTCTTCAAGAGAAGAAAAGTGGGATCGAATGGAGCTGCTCAAAATACATATGCACAAAGGTGACTTGATCACACAGGAAAATAATTTGGTAGAACACTACATGAAAATGTTTGCAGCGTTACGCCAGCTTCCATGCCACGTGCATAATACTTTGTTTCCATGACAATTAGGTCCAAATATCCTGTATATAACTGACAGTAAAGAACTAGGGACATAAGTTGTGTTGGCAAAGGAAAAACATAATTTACACTGTCTTAGAAATAGGCTTCAGTACAGTAGCAATAATTAACGGTCAACTAAATTTTGCTGGTTCAAACTGAAGGCTTCGTGCTAATACAAGTAAATTTTTCCAGCCACCAAGACAGAACTGATAATCATAGTTTGCACCTTTACAAGAAACTGTTAATTTCTTCATATATTTGCTCTTCAATTGCAATCAAAACAAAGTAAAATAATTTCAATCCCCTCCCAAAAGAATCACAGATTATCATGATAGATGAATATGATGTAGCCATGGAATAAACTATCACATACAGTAATTTTCACATTTTCTGAGTTCTGAATACTACTACATAGTTGGTATTTATAGCACTAACTGCCACTGCAACTTGCTTGCATGCTGACGTGAAATTTACTGAGAATGCAAAAAGAAAAATAATATAAACTACATTGTATTACCAATGTCTTCATACCAGATATTAGGGAATGCGGTTTGTTACAGTTTCAGGACATCTTCAGTGGCATTCCCTCTGAGCTTCCATGCTATAATCTGTTTTCTTATTCTACTCTTCCCATTCATCTCACATATTTTTTCCAATCAGTCTGCTAAGTCTATGTAAATCTTAATGATTGGTACATTTTTCTGTAAAGGCCATTTCATTTATGATCTAATAATGCAAAACCAGCAGTCCCTGTTATAAATCTCATTTCTGATTCTGATAATTTAATTTCATCTGTTTCTCTGATTATGCAGGCTTCACTTCTGGTGCTGCCAAACTTGTATAAATGTTACTGTTTTTATACTAATCAAGGTTTTAAATTTGATTTATTGCTCCAGTTACTTATACATATATATTTTTTATTCTATGACATTTTCTTTCATATTGTGACAGGGCAGCTGAAACACTAGAGTAATGGAACAGCTCAATAAAAATGTGTTGTGGCAACGGATACAAATGCGACAATAGCAAAACTGCTGGAAGCAGTGTCTTCTATATGTTGTCCATCTCGTGGCTATATTGCAAGGGGCTCTGGGGAAAATTGGCTGAGTCCTGGCCACAGTAGCGAGTGACGACCAGAAGCAACTAGGACCTGGAAGTCCAGGGTTGGCAGTTTGTGAGTGCAGTTCACAAGCTGTAAGTGAGCAGTGGCAGCTCATGCTTGGCCATGAAGAACCTCCATGGTTAGCAACCACAACTGAACGACAACTAGTGAAGGTGGTAACCAAGCAATGACCAGTGAAGACAGAACGAGACTTTACATGTGCTATAGTGATATCTTATGTGTGTAGATTAGTGATAGTGTTATAACCATTTGTAGTTATATGAGTTGTAAATGTTCAATAAATCCAATTACCACTAAACTCCATGTCTAGTAACTAACACATGACAATATGATGGCCCTACAAAGCAGTGTTTCTCAACCACCAGACCACAGCCCAGTACCAGGACCTGGCATCAATTATACTGGACCCTCGTCTAATAAAAAGAATTTACCAAGCTGTAGTCTCACAAAGGCTGAGAAACACTGCTATAATTCAGCACAGACACTTCAGGAATTTATACATTTAAATACTTTCTTACCAGGGCAAATTTTGCTCTTAACAGGGTTTTTAGCTAAAAAGGCAATGATATCTGTTTTTCCAACTGTAAGTGACACTTAAATTTCTGTGAGTTATCTGTAAACTATTTACTTCACAGTGTAATACATACACTGCTATAAGTACCTGAACTGTCTGAAACAGCAAATCATTTATGCTGAAGCTTTTGTTACTATGTATTCCTCACAGCTCCCCCCCCCCTCCATCATTATCCATCTTAAATTTTGAACAAGATGGGAAAGCCCACAATTCTGCTCACTCCCTGCTGATGGATCTCTCATTCAGACAAATCAAATTACATTTTTTGCTGAAATGTTTTTAATGTTGTATTTGTGTAACGCTCACTGTGAATTCAATGGAAAGTGTTATTTGTTATGTATACTCTCATACTGTTAATATCTGACCAAGTTCCTTCCCTGTATCCTGTTCCATCCTTTTATGCAACTCTGCACAGTATAGCATATGAACAAAGTTACAATTTTTCATTTGGCTTTCCAGAAGTATCAACTTCGCTCTGAATGCCTTGATAAGTGCAAATAAATCACAGACCAAGTTATTTTCACCCTGCAACTTTAAATTCAAATGGTTCATATGGTTTACCAGATCAGCAAAACTGCTAATTTCCAAAACCACTTGGTATCTGATAAAAGTGGTTCGTGATTGTTTTTCTTGGTAAGAAATATATCAATTTCATTCCTGAGCTGCAAGAAGCGCGAAATAGCCTTTCCACAGCTAAGCCATCAATCTGCAGTATAATATGTCAGGTCAATAAGATCGGAATCACATTTACCAGTACTAGTTCAATTGGCACATTTCTGTGCAATTCTTTCGCGGGCTGGATAAAATCACATTGCGGGCCACATGTGGCCCACGGGCCATAGTTTGGATACCCTTGCCCTAGAGTATGCCAAAACATTCTTCAGAGCTAACCTCAACCCTTGCCCTAGAGTATGCCAAAACATTCTTCAGAGCTAACCTCAACCCTTGCCCTAGAGTATGCCAAAACATTCTTCAGAGCTAACCTCAATCTCATACCAAAAGCATATTCTAACAGATCAAACAGAGTAGCGCCCCTGACTCCTTCACCAGAAGATGGACTCAGTTCCAGCTTCTAAAATTCTGTGTTCTTTGTAGACCAGAGAAGAAACTAAGTCCAAACACTCAGTAATCCTCAGCCTTATAAATCATCATCAGAACCCTTTAGAAATGAACACTTCAACAGCATTTTAATTGTAAGTACTGACTGGTACAAACTGTGAACAATGACTGTGGATAATGAGGGGTTTAAAAGAAGGCCAGAACACCTTCTGTGAGTTTCCCTGCATGAAGGCAGGTTCAAATACCTCCATTGTACCCCTGCAAGTTGTAGGGAGAGATGAAAAGGGAACCCAGTGCCTGGAGGTATAACTGGGCCACCCTATTCCTGGGGGATATAAATACAGGGACCTGGTCTGCCCAAGCTGAGGAACTATAAAATCTGAGACAGTAATATATGGCCATGAGTCCCATGGGACTTGGACCTAAGAATGACTGCACTGTGGCAAGGGCCAGCGGCAGCTGCAAATGACAGACGATCACAGAGGGCACCTAACATCAACTAACCTGAAAATGTTGAAAGTAATAAAAAGTGTTCTTGGGCCCCAAATGGCGGCTTGACACCAGACAGACTACCTGACTGACCATCAGTTGTAACATAACTTTAACCTTCTGAGAGTTTTTGTGAGTGAAGAATCAGACAATCATCTCTACATACCGCTCATAAACTGGTATGCCAGTCATGGGTAAAATTATATTTTGCTTTATTTGGGTCCATCAACACAACTTATTTTGGTACTTAATATTTACTGAAAATCATATCCACTACATGTTTCAACCTTTACAGGTCATCTTCAGGTGGTAACAAAGTTCAGAAACCTAATGAATTGTATTGCTATTTATACCCTTTCACAGAAAATGTGGATCCACTTTTCTACGTTACGTACAATCTTTTGTGATAATGCATTGTCAAATAGCAAAATAACAGAACACAGGAGGAGATGGAGGGAAACAGAAAGATTAATTCGGAAAGTGAAGATACATGTATATTGAAAATTCCCGCATTAAAAATATTTACTATGGGATTCTGACGATGGATCTGTTTCCGTCCTCAGGTGAGGGAAAACACCTATTCTGTTGGGTCCCTTAGAAAGAGCTAGCCTCAATCACTGGACGTCCAGTGATTGAGGCTAGCTAGATCCAGTTTCCGAAACATCGTGTTTTTCTTAGTTATCTTAAAACCAGGACGATGGATAAAGTCTGAAAACCCAATATCTCTGTGTACTAAAAATACTGTTGTGCAGACTGGATGCACAAGTTAGCTGCAGCATTTCTGCGTGCCACTCTTCAAGAAACACAATCCCCCCCCCATGCATGGTTCCAAAGGCTGAGAAGACCAAAGTTGGCCATGACCCTGCAAGACTGTTTAGGAATGTACAGACCTGTATAAATGTGTGTGGAACTAGGAAGTTCATTCAGTTTTTCTTAGCAGTGCCATGCATTGCTTGCGTGTGGTGAAACAAAATATTAAAATAAACTAGAGGATGAGAAGATAAAATACAAACGAGAGCTAAAGATTTTATTTATTTTATAGCAGCAATGTGGAAATTTCTGTGGTATTATGCAGACTGGAGTTATAATTGTATGTATCTGTATATGGGATGTACTAAGCAACCCCCCCCACGTTGTCTTCATGTTTGTGTTATGTAGTTAATTCAATGTCTATAATGAATGTTCTTTCAGTTTCTCATCAGCTATTCTATTACAGATATTATGGTTGTTTATTCTGTAAGTTGTATATTCCAAATGGACAATGCAGTATGGTTAAGTAATATCAACTTACAGTCAACAAAATTTCAAAAACTACTGTATCTTGAAACCCCCAAAAAACTCTCATTCTCATGCATGTGATAGAAAATATGTAAGCTATTTTAAAAAAAAAATTTCAATCCCTGTAACTCACCTCCAGTTGGTGTTCGTACTTCAAATTGAGACCCTGGTAACACAGACTTGGAAGATTCTGTTTCTGGTAACAGAGCCAATGAAGATTCTGGTTCTGGCAGTATCTTTACTGAAGACTGAGATCCTGGTAATACAGCCACTGAAATAAATTCATGAGCCATAACTTGACCACTGACAAGTCCAAATGTCTTCACCTGATCCTTGGTAGAGGCTGGAACTTGGCTCAATCCTGGCACATAATTACCAGATTTGACATGACCTGATATTTGCCCCAAGATCTGGCCAGTGACTTGAATTGGCCCTGCAGATGTGAATGGAATCTGACCTCTGGGCCCAATATGGCCTTTAACAAGTATTGGGCCCCTTGGCTTAACTTGTCCTTTGACCAGGATCTGATGTGTGGGAAATATCTGACTCCTAATTGGTGTCTGATTAGAGGACAGGCCTTGGCCCATGATCAAGCCCTGAACACGGGGCATAATGTGGCTGGTAACCGGGGCATTCATCAAGATCTGACCAGAGACTGGACCTGGAACTGGCACCTGGGCTGCAACATGTCCCACAACCTGTCCTGCAACTTGGCTGATGAAAGGAACTGCCATAATTCGGCTCCCAATGGTACTGGTGGACTTCTGTTTCTTGCCTGGGTGCCCAGACTGCGACTTTCTCCGTCCATCACCACCTGATGAAGGAGAGGCAGCAACATCAATGAGAGCAATATATTTCATGTCATCATTATGCCCTCCAAACAACTATCAACACAAATAATAAGTTACAGAACCAAGCACATACAAATGCAATAAGTATCAGGTCGAGAAACAACTAAAATAATGGAACCCACAAACACAAAAATAACAATAAAATATGATCAACACAAAAAGTCAACAGGTTTTTATTATTTATGAGTTTCCTTACAGGCCAAAGACAACTGTAAAAGTATGAGGGAGTCAGTAAACAGGTCACATATGGATATAAAATGTAAAACACAGAATATATTGTGACATGTCGCGCTATGCAGGACACCACTCCCCCCCCCCCTCCGCGGCGGCAGTGACATGCCGAGCGGAGCCGAAGCAAGCCGAGTCCCGGCACACTGGTCGCTATGCAACGCGGGTAAACAGTGGTTGCGAGAGACAACTCCCAACAGCGTTACCAGTAACACCGGTAAACACAGCGCCAGACAACAATGGTGCCTATTACGTGGCTCTTTTCTGCACTGTCCGGAACGAGGCTAGATATGGAGCAGCGAAGAACCTAAAATAAACATTAATTTCTCAACATATACTCCACCAACATTCATACACTTTCCCCATCTCTTTACCAGTGCATCAAAACCTGTAGCACAGAAATCTGACTGTTGTCTCAGCCACTTCCACACCTCCGTTTTAACCTCTTCATGATCACCAAAATGTTTGCCACCATGGTGGATTTTTGGGGACCAAACATGTGGAAGCCGGTCACGGTAGCCGAGCAGTCTAAGGCGTGCTCGCTCGCTCAGAAGCCGGGATTGATGGTTCGAATCCCACTCAGGGCATGATGTTTGTGTGCGTTTTTCTGTGTTTGTGTCAAGAAGGAGCTGATCACCCGCCCAAGGAGTCCTACCATATGTCTTAGATCTAGAAAAACCAAAGTGAACAGAGAAGTTCATGGAGGTAGGCCTAGGCCCACTGGGGCTGTAGTGCCAAGAAAAAAAAACATGTGGAAGTCATTAGGGGCCAAGTCCATGCTGTAGGGCGAATGTTCAAGATCTTCCCACTGTAGTTCTTAAATTCTCTCCTGGGTTGCTCGGGCTGTGAGGGGTCTGGCACTGTCATGATGAAGCAGTACCCCTCTTGCCAGCTGGACTGGGTGTTTGCTACAAATTTCACCCTGAAGCTTCAACAGAACTTCACAGTATGATTCAATTTGCACCACACTTCTGAAAATGGGCCAACAGTACTCCATGAGAATCCCAAAACACAGTGAGCATAACCTTTCCAGTTGACAGTGTAACCTTAAACTTTTTTGTTGACGGTGAACTGGGATGTTTCCATTGTACTGAAGAATTGTTTGATTCGGGTTGGTAGCGATTCACCCACGATTTGTCTCCAGTAACAATCCTGTTAAGCACACTTTCTTCGTCTGCATATTGTAAGAGATGGCGCAAGGACAGACTCATTCAGTTAATTTTTTCTCGATCCTTCAGTTCTCTGGGCACCCACCATGAGGATAATTTCTCAAACTTCAAATAATCATTCATTACGCCATGTGCAGTTGCTACACTGTCTATCATTACCCTCCTGTCAGTCTAAATCAACTCTTCCACCCACTGCACAGTTGCTTCTGTCACAAATTCAACAGAGTGACCTCATCATGCATCATCTGTGACTTTCAAACATCCTTCAGAAAATTTCTTCACCCAGTGGTAAATCGCTTTATTCAACAAACACTTCCCACTGTAAACAGGAAACATTTCTTTATGAATACCCTTTGCATTAAGTCATTTTGCCCACAAGAAAGGCACAACATAATACTGCTCTTGATGGTACACCCTCAAGCATGGTCACCATTTTGAGTACTGAAACCAGCCTCTGAACATGAGCATGCATGCCTGCTACGTAAACTGTCATGAAGCTGGACTGTGCTACTACCTAGTGATATGCACAGAAAACCTGTTATATCCATTACAGCAGTTTTATTTCCATTTGTCATCTATTTACTGACTCTCTCATAAAAGCAAAATCCAGGTATATGCCCATAACTAATCAAAGACATGTACCAGCATATCTTGTATTTCTGAGATTACACATCAATACTGCCACTAGAAATCTGACTCTGTGTAATCAAACCCAGATTAGAATGAAGAACATTTACATGTGAAAGTTGCAAGAAAATGAGCTTCTAATAACCTAGAAAGTGATTTATTTTCTTGTTCACAACCACAGCACCAATTCAACATCATAATCCTAGACTATATATTGTCCCATGTTGCCTATGTAACGAGACAAGTGAATTCATGAGGGTCTCAGATTTGGCTAAGACATTTATTGGACAATTTCTGTTACACTCACAAGTACAATTATTCACAACTTCACTATCACAATTACTTGCACCGCTGATCTTGGTGAAGTCTTCTTGGTATGTCTTCATTGGATGCAAGCATGCTTCTGCTCTGGTCAGAGCTACACTAAGAAACTGACTGGTCTCGTCAAAGCTGGACTTTTATAACACACAAAAATGACAGACTACTGAACATCATGTTCAAGGCTTCTGTTTTATCCACTCGTAGTATTTGTTTCCATGGATACTGTTCCATTTCTGGGTAAACATACTTCTTGTTTGGGCGTTTCCTATGCAACGGTCTGCTGGTACTGCATTTCCACTGAAGTATACATTCTAATTGCAGCTGTTGCCTATCAATGGATGTCGTGTTCTTTTTGGCAGCACACCACATTGCTCCCTTCTTAAGGTTGATCATCCCAAACAGCTTAATGGTGTTTCCCTTTCATCTTCAAAGCGCTACATCTGCCCCCCTCCTTCAAGGGTGCTCATCCTGAGCAGCTCCATGGTATGGCGTTTGTTCATCCTGTCATATTACATTCATCCTGTCCTGTCTCTCACTTTCCATTCATGCCGGGGAGACTGGTGCTTCTACTTCTCCGGCTTCTCATGGACTAACTATGCTAGTAGTATCTTCAACAGTTAAGAGAGTTAATTATTATACATAATGTTGCGCACAGTTGCTAGGTGGTGAGCAATTTGATGGTGAACATCCAAATGCAAATTTTTCATTTCCAATGTCAATATCAATTTAATATTACTGAATCAACAGTAAATAACTGACTTAAAACCTCGTGTTCTCATTAAGTACAGGGGGATATGCAATAAATATATGAATAGTAAATTCAATACTTCAGCAACACATTTCATCTCAAACTGGTCATGATATCAAGAAGCCTGAAGAGGCAGAAGCCATCTGGCTTTTCTAGGCTGCGTAATTTCTTATCTCAAGGGCTTCAACATTTGTCAGCCATGCTGCATGTTTTTGTACGTTTAAATGTAAGGTCCAATGGGAGTGATGAAAAAAATCATGTTCTTAAACATCGTCAGTACAACAGCGTGCACAATCCTAAATAATAATTATTTAAATATAGTAAAATTGAAAGTACCTGCTTTTTCTTGTTTTCTACTTTCTGTATGTATAGTGTTCACACCTGAGCCATCCAACTGTTTCTTGCGTTGGTGGGGTACACCTCAAAGCACCCCAAAACAAAGACAAATTTCACAATTTTAGAGCCCCTGTAATTCATAACTTTCCAGAGAACGTACTGAAGAAAAGAAGCTGTTTGAAACTCCTACCACCTAAGAACCCAGTATACAGGAAATATCCTATACTACGTAGGTAGGCTGAAAAGTAATGCACACATGCTTCTAGAGCGTGAACGAAATGACCTTCAGAAGCGTGCCAGGTGGCATGTGGAAGTAACATTCCCCCTCAATACGCATGCGCAGGTTTGAGATTGTTGCATTCATCCAGTGTATTTCGAGAAGCGGAAGTATGGAGACATGTTCTAGTGCTATGTCAATGCAAGTTAAACAGCGTGCTGTTATCAAATTTTTAACTGCTGAAAAAGTGACTCCTACTGAGATTCACTGTCATTTAAAGGCTGTTTATGGTGACGATACTGTTGATAGGTCCACTGTAATTCGATGGGTAATAAAATTTCGTGGTTGCGAGCCTGGAAAAGCCATAATTGTTGATGAAACACGCAGCGGACGTCCGATCACTGCCACAGACGATAATCATCGCAAACTCGTCGAAGATTTGATTCAAAATGACCAGTGAATCACTCAAAAGCATATAACCATATTGGAATATCCAAGGAACATGTCGGCTTCATTACTGAACAATTGGGATACCGTAAAATCTGTGCATGATGGGTACCACGCCATCTCACAAACGAGAACAAACAGCGTCGATTGGAATGCTGCGAACAACTTTTGCAGCACTACCGTGATGAAGGAGACGACTTTCTTTCGAATATTGTGACGAGGGACGAGTCACAGGTCCATCGTTACAACCCGGAAGAGAAAAGACAGAGCACTGAATATCAACATCCGTCTTCTCCTCAGGCAAAAAAGTTCAAAACACAACCACCCGCCAAAAAACTTCTTTTGACTGTGTTTTGGGATGCTCACCGAGTTTATGTGACCGATATTCTGGAACGAGGGGCAACGGTAAATTCTTCTCAGTACATACAGACTCTAAAACACCTCCGGTGTCGAGTTTGTTGTGTTAGAGGCAGCCTGGCACCAATAATCTTGCAACATGACAACGCTCGTCCACACACCTCGCGCACAACTGAAGAGGCTCTGCAAAACCTGAAGTTTGAACCGATTCCACACCCTCCTTATTCCCCCGATCTTGCACCCTGCAATTTTTATTTTTTTCCTCTACTCAAGAGAGACCTCAAGGGTAATCATTACACCTCGGACGATGAGGTGAAGGCAGCTGTCAAGTCCTGGATTTGAGAAAAGTCGGAAGAATTTTTCAGTGACGGAATCAAAAAACTTGTTACACTTTGGGAGAAATGTGTTAGCGTTAATGGTGACTATGTTGAAAAATAAATATATGCTTTTGAAACTTAAGAATTGTACTTTAATGTACTTTTTGCCCGATCTTGCTATTTGTTTTTGTTCGCGCTCTACAAGCATGTGTGCATTACTTTTCAGCCTACCCACGTACATGCCAGAGTTACAATGGCGCTGTTTCACTGACAATAATTAAAGAATATAGCTGTAAAGCTAGGATTTCCTGTGTAATGATAAAAATACATCCTCTCAGAGCTTAGCTCTTTGCAACAGAGTAGAATATTGCAAAGGCTGTCATCTGGACTCTTCATGTGTTTGTTTTATGGCACGTAGCTGCAAGTCACATAACAAGAATGAATGAGTCTATAATGCAGAACCATCTTCTGAAGAAGTGGGCATCTTATTTTTAGAGTAAGCATCAAAAAATTAAAACAAAACACAGCAAAAAATATGAAGTATAACTTTCTTTGTTTACTACGTTCTTTCCTCATAAAAACAAAGTTAATTTAACTTCTTTATTAGGAAAACTGCATTAGTTACAGCATTTTAATAATATGCTTAAAATTATTTAAATGCTCCCCAGCAATGAGCATTTAAACCCTGATCAGGTCCACCCTTCAGACTATTTAAATACCATGGCATTTAGAAGTAAAAAGCAAATTCCTTTATTTCAAAACCACAGTACTTATCCTCTTACACAAACTTGGCATAAATTTTGCCCACATGATATACTCGTATATATGAACATATGCCAGTCATTCTGAGTTCATTTCTCTATTCCTAAAAATGTTTCAGAAAGTTTTCCAATGTGGTCATATAAATTCATCAAATTCTCACCAAAAACAAGAAACATGTATTCAAGGTAATATAATACCTACCTGACCTCTTCTTTGCGTCATCCAAGACCCTGTCATCTCCTAAGGTCTTCTCATCTGTTTCACTGTTGTCCGCTTCATTTCGCTGCTTCACACTCTTAACTCGCTTGATTTTGAGTTTTCTAATGCCTGGACTGTTATCAGTGCTGCTATCTGGAATGCTGCTCATCTCTGTCTCTGGGTATGAAATTATGGAATCTGAACTCATATTGATGACTTCCACCCTGGGCCGCTTCTTACGAGGCTTGTTCTGTTCTGAACCATCAGAGTTTGATGGGCGCTTACGTTTCCTTGCATGTTTCTTACGTAACTCACTGTAGACTGTGGCCTCATTCATATCTGCAACAAACATAGCTCATCTAATCATTCTGTAAAAATTCTAGTATCCATGTTTATGCATGAAATCACCAAACAAGGAAAGGACACATCATATTTAACCACCAGTTAGAGCGCACAATTTTTTTATCCTTACCTACTTTAGGACAGAATACCCTTTTATACACCATAAAAAAACATCCTGTTCAACCATTTTCTCAAGACAAAGGAAAAGTTTAAAATGAATTATCAGAAAACAAATTTGTTTCTATACAAAGATATTTCTTTATAGCTGATTTGAGATTCCTTTTACTTTTCAGTAACCCCAAGAAATCCACAATATCTGAACGTGATAGCAGTCCATCACCACAAGATCACTCAGTTAAATCAGGCAAACAAGTGACTGGAAATTAATCTGAGAATGACAATTTTAGCACATTCAAAGAAATAAGGGGACAATCTTATGATTCTGAAGAGTTGGTGGCCTTATTCTAGCTCAGAAGTTATGGCATCAGTATTGAAAAAATACAACACTCAGCCAGGTGGACTTTGCACACATCACTGTACTAGTTCAATGCATGGTGTCTAATGGTTCAAGAACCACCACAGGACCATTCTTTTTGATGACGTATACAACCTCCATAAAATTACAGTAGTCGTTGTCCACTGTGCATTTGGGGTGTGTTATACACATCTTCACAAATTATGTTATCCATAACTGAAGTATCGATTTTTATCCAACCTCCTATACTTCCTTTAACATAAACTTACATTTCACTAATACTCAAATGACTTCAATGAACTTGAAGTTTCAAGTAGTATTCCCCCTTTACAGACCACTGTTCAACAAACATTACTTTGTAGATGTCAACTGTACAGGCACTGAACCATTCAATAAAATTAACGAAACAATATGGTTCAAATCAATATCCAACACCATGTAAAAAGTCAAAAGCTTTTTTGGGTTGGATGTAACAAACAAGCTTCTTATTGTAAGGGGTTGTTATGTTAATTCCCAATCATAAAAATGGAGCGCACACCTTGATATCTGTCAGTAAATCCTTATTCAACATATTTGCAAATAACCTCTTTTCCTGGAGCTTACTGCTCCACTGCCATCTTGAAGAAATGTCATTCTGTGATAGCAATAACAAATCAGAGTATTTCCAGCACCTCATATAATCTGGTTATGTTCGATTTCTAATGTGTTAAGCAATAGGTCTGCCGATTATACTAGTAATATGAATCTCCAGAGCCTGGCTAGCTAGGAGAGTAAGCTCAGAGATGGCTGTACTGTATCCTCCTTAACACTTTGCCATCCATAATTTCCTTCTGCCATTTAGTGAGAGAAGTATTAATCCATGTTTTCTTTAAGAGCATTTAATACATTAACACAGTACCTACATTTTCCATACCAGCATAAGAATTTCAAGGAATGCTGAAAAACAAAGTCCAGTAACTTCCTATTCATGACATAATGATCTTATCATTAGTTTATTACATAGCTTCCTACATGATTAAGACAGTGTTTAATAACATTATTAATATAGAAATACAATAAAGAGCACAGAATGGTGCTTAAAGAAATTAACAAAATTTACTTTCCAGTTGTCAAGTTGACTCTGCACTGATTGCCAGTGCAACAAAGCCCACAATGGAAAGAACAATCTTGATAACCTCCAATCACAGAACTCCATCCCCCCACAATTACTGCACTTTAAAGGACAAAAATATGTTAATAAATGTGGACTGTTCTTCATGATAGTCACAATCTGACAACTTAGATGCATGGGTGTGTATTATCTTGTCCATTTTCACTCCAAACTGAGTGAGTTAATATCAACAGTACTACTGACAAAATTACCCCCTTTTTGTACACCCCATTACCACATAAATACACAAAATGTGACCAAAAATTGGGGTGTAAGGCTTATTCATGGCTTGTAATGCTATTCATTGCAAGTTCCATCCTAACTTTCACAACTTCTCTCTTTATTTTGTACACACATGCCCAGCTGTAAGTATGAATGATGTTAATCTGTGTTGTACTGTGCACTGCTCATGTATTCTGGAAAACTATATATCTGAAGCACTGAAGGCACGCTTTTACAATCTTTTGCAGCTGGTGTAGAACTCAAGAGTAATTCAAGAGGCAGAAGAACTCAGAAATTGCTGTGTTGGTAAAATGTACAATAAGAAGAGTTGTATAACAGAGTGGCTGAAGAAAACATAATTATTATTCCACAGTAGTAGTAGTAGCAGCAGTTATAGGGCTCTTATGGCCAGAAAGAAAATATCCAGATATAATCCTACAAATACTTGTATATACATGTGAAATGGATATCTGAGGTGGAACATAACCTGTGAAATGCCAGTTAAAGATCCTAACACTTGTGAAACGACATTTCAGGCCACTATTCTGTACATTTAGGCTTAATATGTATACAGCAAAACCATATACAGTAAAACCTTGATTTTACACTTTTTAGGGAGCTGCCTCAAGTAAATGCAAAATGTAGAAAAATTTTAAATTAGGGAAATGTGAATGATGTAACTTAAAAAAAATTGTTTTCTTTATGCAATAACACTGAAAGATAATTTAAAAAATACATGTTTGAACACCTAACAATATAAATGTTGATGCAAATATGGTTCTTGGTTTACTTTATGAAGCTTAATTAACTGCTCTTATTATGTAGCAACAAGATGAAATGGTGAGTATAACTGTTGAATGGAAAACATCTGGTGGGAAACTGTCAATCTATTTCAGCGTACTATCCCACCATTCACCTGGATAGACCGGGAAATATAGTACGTACCTAGTTATACTATTTCTTTAACCATTCAATAAGTGTCTTGTTTCTTTCTTTCTTGAACTCTCACCCTGTATAATGCATTTTCAGCTTGCTGCACATTACAATAATACTATTTGTGGCATCTAATTGAAGCACATACAATCTGGATGCTTCCAGTTCTTTCAGTGCATCAAGAATGCTGCTTTGTTCCACAAACTTTTCTTATTCTGGTTCTTCTTTCAGCTTAGACAAGTGGTGCTCCAATTCAGGTTGATACTCTGGATTCCACAAACCTCAAGAGCACTGTCACTTGTTTTGTAGTCCTCAAACTGCACTCCAAGGTGTTGCAAACTGTGCCAGACATCTTCTTCATCTTCAGTGTGTGTCACTGTACTGTCATCACTGCCACTGAGGTGAACAACTGAGAAACCACACTTCACAAAGCAATTCTTGACTGCAGTGGGTGTTCCCAAACTCCAGCTTCCACTGTGAAGCACTCTGCGGACAACACCTCCCGCTTCATCTCTGTAGCACCCTGGAGCACTCCCCCATTTATCATGACTATAGCCTTTTGAATCAACTGCTTTCTGTAATGGAACTTGAATGTACTGATGAATCCCAACTGTGATTTTGCCAAGAAATGTGGTATCCTTTGAGAGGGCAGCATACCGATCAATAATAATCAAGATTTTGCCATTTTTGGCGCCCAGTATTGTATAAGGTTGTGTGAGATAATATTCAAATATTTTGGTGGTCATCCAACAATTTGTATTAGTTTCATATTTTGTAGATAGTCTCCGGACATTCTTGAAGCAATGTGGTCTTCTAAATTTTCCTGTTTATCACTAACACCAGCATTACATGTGAGGAGTACAGCAACCCACTGTTTAGATTTTATACAATGCAGCAAAAATCTCCTAAAAAGTGAAGGTTTTGCTACTTTCTAGATTAAAAAATGGAAGGTCTCATCAGTGTTTATTACAAAGGTCAAAACCTCCCATTTTTTAAAATAGCTGGTACTTTTTCCAGTCTTCTACAGTTTCTGAATCAACACTCCTGACCTCACCTGATACAAGTTCTGTAAACAATGCTGTGTCTCCTCTTAAATGTGTCAATCCATCCACTGGAAGCCAAAAAGTTGGCTATTCCCAAATAAGCAGCAATGTGTAAGGCCTTCTTCTTGAGGTAGGTGCCATCTGAAGAATCGTTTTTCTCATGTGCTTTGCTTGAACCATGCAGAAAGTGCAGACTCCAGTTTATCGAATGGCTAACATTTTACTGATATCTGCTGCTTCGAGAAATTTGCACAGTGGAGAGAGGTAACTTCTTTTAATATCCTTAAGGTTCTTCACAGTAATGTTTAGCAAGGAAAGTCTGAAGTGTGGTACCAGTTCAACGTGTTTGCTAGTACATGAATCAAGCCGTGCTAAAACATTTTCTCATTTATTGTAAAGGATTTCCATTTTCATTTATTATCCATACTGCACCCTTTTGTGAAATTCGCCTTAACTGACAAAAAAATTTTGTGTCTAGGAAGTGGTCACATGGGTGCTGAAAAGATTTAAAAATTGAACCTGGGTGCATTTGTTTTTAATGCTTCATTTACAAAAATACATTCGCTGTATTTCAATGGTCACTTTTCATACCACTTATCAGACAAGGGGACAAACCAACTGCTCCTCCCACTGAATTAAAGTTATACTAAGTCAAAACAGGGCCAGTCACAGTACCCAAGCAGTCTAAGGCATGCACTGTCTTCGCTCGCTTGGAAGCCGGGATCATGGGTTTGAATCCAACTCAGAGCATGGATGTTGAGAGAGAGAGTGTGTGTGTGCACTCATTTTTCTGTGTTTGCGTACAGGTAGAGGCCTTGAGACAAGCTGATCACCCTGCCAAGGAGTCCTACCAAATGTTTATGATATGGTAAACAGAAGTGAAACAGAGTTTCATGGAAGTAAGCCAAGGCCGAAATTGGGGCTGTAGTGCCAAAGAAAAAACAAAGTCACAATAGGATCAAAGCTGGCCTAGATCATGAAATCCTTGGACTGTGGTGGTAGAAAAAACTCCTCATGCACAGCAGGCCTCAGCAAAGTCACACGGTGCATGCAAATCACTTGCAGCTGTGCATCACCCAATTGGCAGTATGTAATTTTAGACTGATGCATTTGTGACTGCTAAGAGGGAAGGAAATCCATTGCCTGGAATAAGAAAATCTGAGAATTAAACTAC